TTTTGTTTATACTAAGTCTTGATTCACGTTGCCCTAACACCAAGTTTCGAACAGGGGGGTCAAGAAAGTCTCAGTAAACAGTTGTTCCAGTCGGTAGGTAGCTTCGCGCTCGTAAAACCTTCGATCGTACACGAACACCAACAAACAAGCACGAGAAGCTGCCGCTGCCAGTCTCAGGACTAATGCAGGGCGTTGATTTGCAGTAAAAGAGAGAGAGAGAAAGAGAGAGACAAAGACGGCGCAATGTTTCGTTGTTTTATTGTCTATAGCCTTGATCCTCATCCACGGTATTCTTTCTTAACTCTTTACTCTTTTTGTCCCGGTGCCAAATGCGCCCCCTACGGTATAAAGCGGTGTGTGAAACCGGTCCTCAGTTGTAGCATCAATAAGAGGACGCGTGTAAGAGAAGAGGCTTTCTCTGTGCTATAATACCTACCTAATCACCTACTCGCCAACTGACAAAGCATCATTTTGCACTATTTCATTGCACCATCTCAGTATATACAGGCAATGCCGTAGTCTCCATCTCCCTGATACGGAACACGCAACTACGAACGGCCGCGTCTCTACTCGACTGAGAGGAGAAATTGGCGCAGCTCTATAGAGAACTAGACAAGTTCCCACGACGAATCTGAAGGAGCGCGCTAAGCTCCTACATATCCAGCCGGTGCATTTCTATAATGTCAACGTGTGCGGCCTCCGAGTTTGGACAACGGACACTGGCGTGGCGGGCCCTGTTTCCGCTTTATCTATAAACAATTCCGAAAGAGTTGGTCCTGTGATCAAAGACCCTACCTGGTTTATACCACAACAACGCTCGCGACAACGCCTATTCCACCGCACACCTGTACCTATATAAGATGGCGTTTGCTCGACCAAAACGCAAAATCATTCACCACGCATTCACAGCGAAACTACGACACAGCAATGACGAACCACGGAGTTTCTACAGCGAACAACCGCCCCAGGCCGACCATGGCCTTCCATGTCAGGCTAAGGGACACGCCCCTCGACGATACGCAGACGACGCGCGAGCTTTTCGAGGCGCTGGGCCTCCCGCTCTTCCGCCCCGCGAACCACGCCCTGCCCCGCCACCGCCTGCCGCCGCACCTGCACATCACAGCGCACGGCAACACGCCCGGCGACGCTCCGGCAGGCACGCTGCACGCCCGCCGCCACAGCACCAGGCAGCCCGCCGCGCCAAACGCGACGCTCTGGAGCGCTCTGACGCCGTACCCGTGCCTGCGCGACCGGCCGCACCACCCCCAGCACGAGGTGCGCCGCGCCGAGCTGCACGCGTACTTCCGGCGCGCTCCCCGCGCGGAGCTGGTCGACACGGTCGTGCGCGCGCACATGGAGGCGCAGGTCCTGGGGTACGAGTATAATTGTGCTGTTGACGCGTACGAGGCGCAGCGCCGGCGCGTCAGGGGGCTGGCGCCGCTGCCGTATGTGCTTGGGCCGGTGGGCGGGGGGGAAGAGCCCCGTTTCCCGGCGGCGGAGAAGTGGGGTGACGGGGGCGAGGCGGGCTAGGGCTAGAGCGGGGGGGCCGTAAACGCGGTTGAGGCGTTTGCGCGCGGGCTAGGGTTTGCGCCGCTGCTGGAGTATCTGAGCGAGCTGTTCGGCGACGTCCTACTTAAGTGGGTGGCGCTGCGGGCGCTAATTTTCCGCGTTAGGGATCTTAAGACGTGGCACACGCAGCTGGAGATTAGTATCCATGTCGCGGCTATCGGCAACGAGATCGCGGCGCTGAAGGCGTGGTGTGCCCGGCAGAGAGAAGCGCTGGACCGGCTGGCTCGCGAAGGCCCCGACCCTGCGCTCAGGCTGAGCCTGGAGCAGTGCGCGGAGCTCTTGGACAAGGAGACCAAGGCCTGCGAGATGACCTGGCTCAACCTGACCAAGCTTGAGGAGTACGAGGCCCTGTTGTTGCAGAAACAGGAGGGCTATGAAGCGGAGCTGAATGCTGCGGAGCAGAGGCTTGACGAGGTGTATGCGATGATGGTGGAGGAGGAAAGGGAGGAAGCGTGGATGGAACTGCCCAAGGACGTGTAGGGCCCTGACTTCCTTTCGGCTCCTATCCGTCTAGTCAGCCATTGTCATCCATTCCTCCGGCTTCCTTTGACTGTTATAAACACCTTCTAGCAACACTGCCCAGCCGCATACTAAGCCAGCGTTCTCACTGTGACCAGTAGATAAAATTAGACAAAAAAGCAAAAACATCACCAACACTAGTGCCCAGTTAAGCAACAAAATGAGCAAGCAACGCAACGAGCATGTCTAACAACGTGTTGAACAGATATCGAGAAAACATACCCTAGGAAAATTCAAAATCAGCGACGTGAATAATTTGGATACACTGCGCACCATGTAAAGTACACTAGTAAGTATTAGAAACAAACTCATCTATCTAGAGCTTTCAGCTTCCTCACCTACCCCACGCCGCGCACCAAGCCGCCACAAAAAACCCCCTAGCCAAGATCATCTTGACGCCGGGAAAACCCGCGCCGGCAGGGCGGCGGCGTTAAGGCCGTAGATAGTATTGCTGTACGCGGGGGCGATGATTATGCAGAACGACGCGCACGTTGAGTGTCTCGTAGGGTAAGGCGGCGAGCACTGTCGTGTGTACAACCTATGTGTGTTGGGTAGGGCTGCTGATGTTGTGGTGGGTGTGCCGTCGGAGAGGGAGCGGTGGTGATGATGGCGAGGGTAGATGAGGCAGACGTGCTCGCGGAGGGAAGTGGAGCGTGTGAATATGCATGCCAGACCTTCAGAACACTTCCCACAGCGCACCTCGCAGGGGGATATAGAGGCAGCACTCGCGACTAGAAGGCTTAACCACCAACCTACCCCAGCGCCTCCCCTCCCGTCCCCTCCTCTTGCCCCCCAAACCCATCATCGACCGTAAACACCATCTCGACCAAAAACGCCTTGGCCCTCACGTATGCCTCCCCCACAGGCTCCAGGACTTGGTCTTTATCCCTCCGCACCTCCTCCCTCGCACACCTACCCATCTCCAGCCACTTCCCCATGAACAACGCGTCCATGCACGCTCCTGCCGTGATTGCCCACAGGACCAGCGCCTCGATATCCTGCGTGTACAAGCGCGCAGCCCGCATCTCCGCCTCATCCGCTTCGTCGCGTGGGTCGTAGATAAAGGCCGCAGAGGTGCGCGCGCGTGCCGCGACAAACTCCGCGAAGCGCTTGTGCCGGGTGTGGGAGCCGAGGGCTTCGAGATGCGGAGCGACGCGCGCGTGGGCGTAGAGGCGCGGGTTTATGCCCAGGGCGCGCGTGAGCCAGTGTTGGTAGGCGAGGTAGTGCGCTGAGAATTCTGGGCTGATTTCGCGGTTGAGTGGCGCGGCGGTTTGCACGGCTGGAGTGTTGAATGGCTCTTCCCGGGTGGGGCTTTGGATGTTGAGCGATTGGTGACGCGTAATTTGAGGACTGTTGGGTGAAGCAGGAAGAGTAATTTGGTCGTCAGACGCATCATCTGAAACGCCAGGAGGAGAAGGTTGATTATCAGATTCCAGAGCCTGTGTTTGTTCTCGTTCTCGTGATGGCGAGCGATCGGCGAGCTTACGTTTGCCCTTCCGGCGGCTGGCGAATATATCCAGGTTCTGCGAAGAAAGCGGAGGTTCAAATCTGTCAAAGAGTCCTAAGCCGTGGTCGACAGGCGTCATTTTGTATTCGCGAGGCGTCTCCAGCACTCTCGTCTCTGACGGCGAAGACGCAACGGAGCAATCTTTCGGGAGGCCAGTTCTCTCAGGTGTTGGTGTCCGAGCGACGAGTGTCTTCTTGTATGGCGGCGGAGCGTTGTCTTCACGAGTGTCACCTTTTTCCGAACCACGAGCACGTCCGCCATTGAGATCGAAGATATTCCAATTGATTACAGTCGCCTCTTTTCTATCGTAAATCTTGCCCAAATCAACGCGATGTTGGACAAGCGTGCCAGCAGACAACCTGTCACATACCGTCTTCAGACCATGCCGGGCAAAGCTGGTCGGTCGCACGTAGACGGCGAAGCTCCGTGATCCGGAAAGGGACTGAAGACCGCGCAGAAGATCGCTGGAAACAGAAGTACTGGGCTTGATCTTCGTCAACGAGGTCACTGGCATTAGCACGTACCCAACGTCGGAGAGATCAAAGTCCAGGCGGATGAGCATGTCTGCCTCGGATAATCCGGCCTCTTTGACTGCTGAAGCGATGGCTGGTGTCTCAATCTGGGATGCTGGCAGTGTCTTTTGCTGCAGAGATGACAGTGAATTCAGAGGGATGACGAAGAGCAGTTCTTGTAGCCGAGAAGACTTGCGGACAGACTTGACAGTGAAGTGGAGAGAAAAGCGTGCAAAGGCCTCTCCACTGCTAGCATCAAGCCCAATTTTCAACAACAACATGGTATCCTGCTTGTTCACGGCCGAGACAGAGCCAAGGGTACAAGTTGCGCCTACATCTTCCCACTCGGCCAGAACGCGCTCGTAGACGATATCTTTGAGTTGATTATTGCAATGATCCGAGCCTTCATCTTCAAATGGCTGTGCCTTCTCAACATTTGCCATGTTTACGATCGCAAGTCGCAAGTCTCAACGAGGGTGGGAATAAAGTTGATGTTCGGATGTATGTTTGGGAGCAAAACCTGCGCCTAGACAAGAGATAGTCAGCACTACACAATCAACAAGGCAGAAAAGGACAATTGATTCCCCTGCGCCAGACGGCGAGGATCCCACCCACCCGGGCTTTGTCGAACAGCAGATGGTTCGAGAGTAACCCTGACTCTACCCGATGGACCACGGCAACTTTACGAAACAAATGTTGCGAGCCGACATATTGCAACGAAACTGCTACGCGCGAACCGACCCACTGCGAACGTCGCCAGAGCGTAGCACTGCTCCACAAGGAGGACGGGCGTGCCGACCTACTGCAAGTGCGGCTTGAGAGTAACACTGCTCCACCAGACAGTCGTGCCGACCAACTGCAAATGCTGCCCGGGAGTAGCACTGCTCCGCGCCAGGCGGGCGTGCCGACCTACTCCAAGCAGCATCCGAGTGTAGCACTGATCCGTCCAGCAGGCGTGTCGACCTACTGCAAGCGCGCACCTGAGAGTAGCACTGCTCCATCCAGCAGGCGTGCCGACCGACTGCAAGCTCCGTTCGAGGGTAGTTCTGCTGCGCGCGTTCCGACCCATTGCGACGCATTCTTCGAGGGTATCCCAGCTGCCAAAATCATTTGGTTCAAGTGCGCGTAGTCCATCGCCCGCCCACCCGGGCTTTTGCGGGGGGAGGAGCAGCCCTGACTCGATGAGGAAGAACGGAAGGTAGGGGAGGAGCGGAGTACTGGATCGATGGCAGCGGCGGAGAGGCCCGCTAAAGAATGAAGTTGCTGGCCGGGAGCGACTGCGGGTGCGCCTCGGGATGGCAGCGATGATGATGCAACGCCGATGATGGTGTGTGGAGATGGATGGCGGTGGTGGACCGTGGACGTGTGTCAGCTCGCGACCGCGACGTGAGGCGGCACGGCTCAATAATATTCCGGATCACGTGCTATCATCTTGGTCTTGGCGGTGAGCACGCTCCACATGAGCTCTGTCTTACCTTACTTCCATCCACCATCATCATCGCCCCGCATCAACACAAAGCACGTCTCAAAGTGCGGAAAGGTATCAAGGCAAAGCCCCTCCATCTTGAGCAATGTCGGGATGAGGGAACCCGCGTCGCTTGGCTGATGGCTCGCATCCTGCCGAGGATCTTGAGAGCGGCGAAGCTCGCGGCCTCCGTCGACATGAGCGCCTCAGCGCCAGCTCCCTGCACTCGCGGATAAGTCGTTAAAGATCGCGCCTGGAAAACGGCTATCTGTGCCAGACCAAAGAGCTGCAGCTTGCCAGCTTACCGCTGCTCGCTGGAAACCTCAAGCCGCTTTGCCGCGAAGCCTCATGAACTGCCTCAACTGGGGCGGCGGGGCGAAGCAGCTCCTGAGTCTTGTTTGGGTGGGTATAGAGGTACAATATTCAAAGGCTAGTGGAACTCGAAAGGGATGGGAGGCGCCTTACCTCCTGCGGCCTCTCGGAGAGCAGTTCAGCAAAAATCGAGCATATTTATAACCCCGGCCCATCACAGCCTGCGTTCATTCAATTCGGTACTCCCCCCGTCCTGCACGGTGCTTCCACTTTGCTCAACTGCTCCCATGATTCGCCGTTCCAGATGTTTCAAGGCTTCACCTTGGGAGCACATAGGCTCGGTCGCCCGGAAACCTCCGGATCCCCGACAACAACATGACCCACCACGTCCATGCTAACCGCGAGAGCACTAGCTGCTGTGCTATGCTAGTATCATTCCCGTGCGCTTAGTAGTCGAGGCGTCTGTACTGCGAATCGACATTCGGGAACGGTTCACCAGCTATTTGGCTCTCAACAAGGTGGGGATTTTGCTGCCGCCAGCTTGCAAAGGTAGTGTAACGCACATTTATCGGCAAGGTCATTGGTAAGAAGAGCTCGGATGATGTGAAGGAAGGTTCTTATAAGATTTTGGCGGCGCCGGCGGAGAAGATTGAGACTTGATGAGCAGCTAGGGGAGAGGTCCAGATGGAGACGTAGGATCTGGCTATGGGAAGTGCTAGAGAGCGGGTAGATGGTAGTAGGTAAGAGGACATGGACATGGTTGTAAGCTTCTTGCTGGGCAAGGTTGGTTTATCTCCTGTTGAATCTTGAAGCTCTGAATTTCTCTTCCACTGTCGTGTTGCCTCCTTTTCCTTACTCATATCCAAGACTCAGACTTATGGCTAGACAAAGTGTATTCTGTAGGGGCTGCTTGACTTGTTCACTATCTTGCTGGGAAGGAAATTATGCGCTTGCGGCGGCTTGTCCACTGCACCCTCGACTTCCAGCTTCCAGCCAATCTCTCCGCCTGACCAAAGAATCATGTCACGCCACAACACGGTGCGTCAGCACCAGTGCCGGAGTCGGACTGATCTCGCGCGGTGACTGAAAATGGTAATGGTATTTCAGCTCTCGCTTATCACCGCACCGGCTTCGCGTCTCCGGACGAGTCTCCGTACTACTGACTCGGGCCGGTTCCCTGTATTTTGCATCTGCCAAGCGCTGGGAAGCAGCCGTGGAGCTGCTGTGGTTTGCCTGCTTACCTCACTGTGTCAGGAATATGACAATCATGTGACTCACTAAGAACAGGGTCATGTAAGCCACTACGCTTGGCGGCTTTAGATACGGGCGCCGGGGTTCTTGGTTCTTATGTGGGAAGTTGTTCTACTGACTTTCATAGGCCGCAACGGTTGTTGTACAAGAGAGAGTGAGCTGATTTGCTTTCGCAATGAGTAAGGAATACGAAGAACCATTGATATGCCCAGAAAAGGCCTCGAGGATGAAGGCAGTGGCCGAGTACTTAAACCCACGCAACATCGCATCTATCTTGCGGCATCACAATCCACCAGTCTTTCATCATTCGCTCAAGAAACACTTACAACCCACCACTCCTATCACAATATGCAGTTCCTCACTCTCATTGCTCTTCTGCCGCTCGCTCTGGCCGTCCCGGCTCCGCAGGCCAACACCCCATGCGTCTGCGAACCTAAGGTCTGCCTCCTGATCTGGCCCGACGTAAGTGCTTTCTTTGTCCGAACACAAGCCCGTCCAGAACATCTGCTAATTTTTCTGTCCCTTCACGCAGTCCTGCTACTGTGCCAACCAAAACAAACTCGACTGCTACAACAAATGCGGCGGCGAATACCCTACTCTCCAGGACTGCACCGTCGATCCTGTTATTCCATCTTCTGGGGCTACTTCCGCTGTCGAAAACAGCGTGCCGGAACCTGCTACGGCTGCCGCGGCTCCCGCATCTTAGGTCCGGTATCTAGAGGCTGGAGAAAGAGAAAGAGGTATTTAGTTTTGGTGTTGGTTACTGCGGAGGTTGTGAGGAGGTAATTTGAGTAGCGGTTCTCTCCTTTGACAGTGTTACTATCCTTTAGTCTTTGAAATTCATTGTCTTTGATTTGTTATGTCATGTTCGACGAAGACATTACTTGAGGATTGAGCAATCTGCAAGCCATTACTGTCTAGGTCGAGCCTATTCGCCCCCCCCCCCCCCCCCCCCCCCCCCCCCCTCAAATGTCTATCCGCCCCCCCTCTACCTACCGCTTGCCTAATCGGGTAAAGCGCCTGGTAAAAAGCGACTCCGCGACTTTGTAACTTTATATCTTCCTATAATATTTCTTCGCGGCTACCTAAGCTACCTAAGCTACTTATACGTGATAGAGCGAGAAGGCGGCGGAGGAGGACCCGGGAGTACTCGCGCACGCGAAAAAGCGACGTTTGTAATATAAACCTCTCTATCTGTCGTGCTGTAACAGCGAGGTTAGAAATATAGAAGTTTTTAATTAATTTTTAGTATAAAATAAGAGGTGCTAGTTTATGTTCCCTGCCGACGCGTCCTTCTGCGGCGTCGCGAGCGAACGGCGCGATCGGGTTACGCCGAAGTTAACTTTCTGCTGGATAATTACCTAATTAGGCAAGCGGTAGGTGGAGGGGGGGGCCGGATAGACATATGAGGGAGGGGCAAATAGGCTCGACTTACTGTCTATTTGGCGTCCGGGTCGCATGAGCGAAATGGACTGCTCAGAGAAACCGGCCAATTAGAGCATATACTCCTCAAGCGAGGGCCCAATTGGTCGATTTCGCTGAACCTTCTATTTCGCTTATGCGTCCCGGACGCGTGTTACTTCCAAAACTGTTGTGGATATCCTGTCATGTGATCGTATTTTAGGCAGCAGCCGGACCGCTTAAAACCCCTCGGTTCTTCACAGTCCAAGTAGTCAACATTCTTCCCTTCTTCCCCACATGGAACCATTGGAAGAACTATGGACCACTCCACCAACCTTGCTACTAAAAGGCAAGCCGAATCACCTTTACCTGGCACGGCTGCAGGTTCCACCAAACGCATTGCCCTCAGCTACGAACAGGACAACAAGCGCGTCGCCCTCAGCATCGAACAGGACAATGAACGAGGCCCAAGCCTAAACGATCTCCCGGAAGAGTTGCTGGAACATATTATCTCGCAAATGAGTTCCTGGGAAGCACGCGGTCTGGTGCGTGTGTCGCGCAAATTTCGGCGGCTAGCTGAACCGCATCTGTACTCCCACTACATATATATTGCGAACTACTTGGGAGACGACAATGTCAACTATGACAACGAGGAAAAAGACTGGCGCAGCCTCCATCATCTTATCCGGACATTGATCGAGCGGCCGGACCTTGCTGCACACATGCACACCGTCGAGACCAATCATATCATGTGGAAAGAGTTAGGTTTATTGTCAGAAGAACGGATGAAAATAAGCGAGTGGCTCTGGACAGAAACGGCTCTGGACCAAATCGATCTTGATGAGACTTTTAAAACGACCCTCTTCTCCCGTCTTCCCCCAGTAGAACATGAGAGTGCTGCAGTGGCGTTGTTACTATGCCTGTTGCCGAACGTGGAACGGCTGAGCATGGAAGCTTCGTGGTTTGATACAGAGTCATTGGAAGGAGGTGACGCTCTTACCAATTTAGTCAAAGCCGTTGTTGCTCAGACCTCGCAAGTTCCATTAGAGGGAGGTCTCTCGGACACGGCTACAACAAATTCGAGAAGACCCCTTGCGAAACTACGACATGTGACAATCACAAATTTTGATTCTAACATGAGCGAGATGTCCCCGAACCTGGTCATGGCTTTGGTCGGTATTCCCTCTGTGCGCGAATTCCGTTGCGCGTGGTCAACAGATTTCCAGGGTGGCGTAGTATCGCCACACGCCCGCACCTCCAATATCGAGCACGCTACGTTCCTTTGGTGCAGGGCTAACATGGATGACTATTATACCTTCTGCAAAGTTTGCAAGGCACTCAAGTCGCTATCCTTGGTTTTTGGCAGTCCGGGATATAACTTCGAAACTGACAACAACCTCATGACGCTGCGCAGGGCCCTATTTCTGCACACTGAATCACTTGAGAGCCTTCTTATAGACATATCAGACAAGCCAAGATCGGCTGTACTTGGCAGCTTGAAACCGCTTCGCCATTTGAAGGCACTGTCTATCTCTGGACAGCTTTTGACCGGATATCGCCCAGGTCTAGACGGTCCAGACAACAGTGCCGCTCTCATGGACCTACTTCCAACTTCACTGGAAGTTTTGACAATCAATAGCAGCGTTAAGGGCGATACAGCACTGGAAAAATTCCTCGCAACTCTTGCCTACCATGGTAAAGAAGTTTTGCCGAATCTCAGGCAGGTCGAAATGCGCCCTCGCAAGACATTTGTCCGCTGGTATTTCCATGAAGTTATTTATCTTCACGTTTCTGCAGAATTACTCGACCAATTGCGGCCTGTCTTCACGGGCTGGGGCATTCGATTGTTGGGCCCGGAGGGCGCTGACGAAGATGATAATTTTATAGGTGGTGGTGGTGATGGAAATGAGTTTTATTCCTACTATCCACGAACGAAAATCATGGAAAATCCTCATCAGAGAGAATATACGCGCAGTGCGTTTCCCCCTTTTTCCCAGGCTTATCCGCTTTCTTCAAAGTTTTGAAATTCTACTTTAGCATCACACATCACTTAGCGCTCGTTAATTATAGGTTTTATCACTGCTCTTTTCCTCTCTAAACATTTGTGAAATCAATTAATAGCATAAATCCTAGAGAGTGATATAATATAGAAATAATAGCTATTATTAAGAAGTTTAGCATATACCCTAGCGCGTATAAAAATTCGCGCTTAGGGGATATTCGTGCATATTTTTTTTTATACTTATTCTTATGGGACTATTTTATTTTATAAGCCTGCCCTCTCTAACCAATATCTACAGCCTATCTATTAGCTTGATACCACTCCTCCTTCGTCATGGCGGGACTAGACGGTTGAAACCCCTTCCTGAACTCCTCGCTGCTCAAAGTATGCCAGCTTGGGTTACTACAAAGCTCCCAGTACTCTCCATAAACATAATGCACGGCCCCCTTATTTCCTAAAGTCCTCGCCCACTCCTCCCTCACTTCAGCGTCCGGTTTCCACTCCCCCCAAGGAAGTGCACACAACGAGAGCTGCGGAATTCCTCCATCACGTCTCCATCCACTAGAAAATGGGGGCGGATACGTTATGGTCACTCCTGAGAAATGCTCAGTTCTTCCTTTCGGTGCGTATGTAAACGCAAAAGCCCGATACTCTCCCAGCTTAAGGAAGGCAGAGCCTGGGCGCAGCGTCGTTTTGTTATACAGCACCAACCTCTCGAGCGATGGCATGTGTCGCACACCCTTCGCAGCAGCGATAAGCAGCGTGCTCAGCGACTCGTTCCGTGGGCGCACGCGGTATCTTCGCGCGGTTCTGCTACTCACGAAATTCCAAGTTGGTACTGACTCGGCTTCGCTGGGGGGGCGGGGCGGCCCGGTCTCGTAGGGCGTGGGCGAGCCAGTGAGTGATGCGAGCTCCTCGGGTGTGATTTCGTCAAGAATGTTGGGACGAGGGGGTGCAATGTCTGTGCCATCGGCTGTGGTAAAGTACCACTCGCCGTTGGGAGCGAGTGGATCGAGTTGGATGTCGATGTTTCTCAGTGTTGTCGACTGGCAATATCTGAAAAGGTCGGGGCCGATGCTGAGGCCTTTGAGCCAGAGGCACGTCAATCTTTGTGATGCTCTGGAAAGCGCCTGATCGAGTTTATCTTCCTGGCTGCCCTCGCCGCTGTAATCAAGACCTGGGGGGGCTTCATCACAAATTACTGAGAAGTTACGCTCAATAGTAACACTGTGGAGGGCCGGAGGGTTGCGTTCCACCAGCTCATACAAGGAATCGGCAAAGTCTAGTGCTGTTAGAGAGGGAAATGATAGAGGGAAAATGGGAAAAATACCTCTTCTTACTTTCCTTCTCACTTTTTTCCCGTACGCACGGTGCTCGGAGAAAGTAAGTTTCAGATTTTCCAAATAAGGAAATTTTGCAGCAATGCGAATCCAGTCACCCGGCCTCAGCTGCCTTTTTTTGCTATAGTCAGGAACTTCAAAGTAGGTAATGCTCTGGATTTCAGGCAAAGCGGCAACCTCATTTTGAAGTAAACTGTGGACATTGTACCGCCATCGTCTACTCCAGTAATAGTCAGGACTGGTCTTTTGTTCCCAGGTAGCTTTGAAGCGCTCGGGATCCTGATTCTGAAGTTCTCGATCGGTTGGGGCCTCAATCCGTCTTATCTCAAGTGCAAGCGGTCGCTTTCTGCTATGATATCGTTTCCTTTCTTGTTCGACAAGAAACAGAAAGTTGAAGAGATCTTGAAGCTGCTCTGAGATTGCGCGATTGTTTTTTTCAACATCTTGATCCGTTTCGCGTTGGCGCACTTCGTCGTCGCTACAACAAGGGAGTATGATGCTGCACTCGATGCCGCTTAAAGCCGCAGCTCGATGCCCGAATGAGCCGGTGAAGCGGGCGCCAAGCTTCTCTAACTCGTTGGTGTTTACTCGAATGTTGCGGAATGTGCGGCGTTCAATGTTATATTGCCACCTTCTTGACACGGTCGCAAAGACTGGTAGTTGATGATCCACCCAATGGTCGTCTTCATTGTAGGCAAGAGAAAGGATGAAATCGAACAATTCTTCCGGAAGGGTTTCCATAATTCAGGTACGAAGGACTTGATGTCTGTGGGAAGGTTATGCTGTGGTATATATGTTTGGAGGAATGTGGGGGCCAAATCCTAGGCAGAAAGTAGGCCCGTACGCTCAGTGGGGGCTGGAGCCTGGAGTGTCGACGCGATACTTTCGATGGTGATTTTAGATCCAACTATAGCTCGCAGTACATTGCCGCTTACGTCCTCATATTCAATTGTCTTCAAAGTGATAGTCTGCTGAAAGTCTTTTCTGTCTCAATACATGCAGCCGTCTCACCGTTGAAAGCCGTCGAATTTTTTGTTAAAGTAAGCATCAACTATTTTACCGAAACAAAGAAATGCGATGACAGAGCCCTGAAGATAAAGAGCCACGTGGCAGTTACACAGCGACTACGGAAACATGGGTAAGGCGAACCAAAGAACATCACTCGCGGTCGCGCAAACAACAAGACTGCACAAATACATCTTTTCCGCGTTCCCATAGGTATGTTGCACTGATTAGGCGTTGCATGTAAACAGTCGTCTAAACACGTGAATTAGACGTCTATTCGCACTGAATAGGCGCGCATAAGTGACGTGTGCATATTCCACCGGTTTAGTCGTCTATTCAGGTGTTATGCTTGCTTATTCTACCAGATTAGTCGTCTAATTTAGTAATATTGCAGTAGCGTGTCTCAGATTTATAAGTTTACTACGATTCAAATTCCCTGTTATATGCATGATTATTTCTAATAAGGAAGTTAGAGAATAAGAAACAGTTAAGATCGACCTAGAAATCACCCCACTCGGGCGCACAATACTAAAATAGACGACTAAACCGGTGGAATATGCACACGTCACTTATGCGCGCCTATTCAGTGCGAATAGACGTCTAATTTACGTATTTAGACGACTATTTTCATGCCACGCCTATTTGGTGCAACAGGTACACACAATGACTATAAAGACAAATTCATACGTACCCATAGAAAAGCTCACTTTGAAAGACGAAGAAATGCCCCTTGGGCATCACAAAGTCCCAAGACAAAACCAAAATGCTGCCTACCAGGCAGACGACGGTCTAGCACCAGGCAAAACTCGCACGCCAGAGGCCAGCCATGGAACGGCACTCGCTACATGAATATATAATTCCTATGTCTACTTATCTTTATGATACAATCTTCTTAACTCTGCATCCCCCATCCCGAGTCTAAACACATACAACCTACCTAATCACCATGTCGCTTTTTGGCACTTTTGGCAACATCCCGACCACCAGCGGGTCACCAGGTGTAAGCTTTCCAAAAAATATGCCTTCCAGCATCACTGCCGAAGGCAGATCGTCTAGCGCAGGCCTTTTCGGCAACAATAGACCTTCAGGCTCAAGTATTTTTGGCGGAGCAACTGGTAGCAGCACAACCAACAACAGGCCCACCGGCGGGAGCATCTTCAGCCCCGCTTCTATGCAAAATGACAGCTCACGCCCAACCCCATCAACAGGTATACATTCACCATTGCCACTATTTGGTGGCGCGAGTCTGAATGCGCAGCCGTCGCAACCTCCGATGAGCGACCAGAACACTAGCACCGGCACTACCGAAAGAGATAGGAACGACATCGAAGCTCTTCGTAATGAGATCGAAGAGCTGCGCAGGAAGTTGGACAATAACACCCAGAACACGAGCGACCTGGTCGAGGCAATAAAAGACGGCTTTGTTGATATAAAGACCACGCTCATGGATATCCAAAAATCACTGAGCGGGCAAAACGACGAACTCAAGGACGCGCGCATGAGCAACTGGAGCCTGCGTACCGATGTGCTCGGCCTACGGGACGACGTACAAGCTCTTCGCTGGCAGGAAAACAGTAAGGCTTCCGGAAGCAAGATAAATCTGTAAGTCTCATGCAGGTATAAACCACAGGAATGCAGTGACTAACCTTTTCTTACGAAGCGCTTTTATTTCACAGTCAGAGTTCGAGAGTGCCATTAAAGCCCAATGCGCACAAGTGGTGCTTCCTCCTTTTCAATCAATGTTTACGGGTGGTCCGATCCCCGATTTCCCCAAAACAGTCGGAGACCTGGAGAAGCTTTCTGCTGAGCAGATTGATGAGATTTTGCACCATTTGTTGGTGAAGGAGACACCAGAAGGGTTGGAGCAGAAGCGGAAGTTGCTTAAAGAGAAGATTTGGCTGAAGGTGTAGGAGGAAGCAAAGGAGCGTGGAGGTTTCTAGTATATGGTCCTGTGCTAGCGGAAGACAGGTTGAAAATTTGCCAAAGCGAATGAATGTGTGTGGTTTCCAAAGCATGAGCTCGTAGGAAGCCAGCACTGAAGATAGCAGTAGAGTTGCCTATAAAACCGAATACAAAACTACGCCTAACTAATTTTTCACTGCTAAGTTTCTAAGCATAAGTTTCTTTAGACATGGCAAAGATATTATCACAAGAACGAACATATTTGCAGAAAGCATTCATGGATTTCTTGAAGCAACTAATACATGCTATGAATCCAGTTTGGATCATGAGCTGTAGGAAGTGGAACTATCAGAAGCTATGGACTCGGTCATGATAGAAAGAAGTCGCCAACCGGTATGCTGAAAACATCACAGCATTACCCCAAACGGGCACTTCTAACCCACTGCCCTACAGCAAATCAACGCAAACCCAAGGCGGAGTAGAGCACTATGAGGGTCTTCCTCACAGTAGCCGACCAAGGCTCGCGCAAGTGGACCAGGATGCATTCCATCTCGTGGTGGGAGAGCTTCCAGATGTCCCCAATGGTCTTAGGGAAGAATGGAATGGGGTTGCCGGTAAGGTGAGACCTCAAGAACTTAACAGGAATGTTTCCGGCGATGGAAGGAATTCCGGTGGTGGAAGGGATTTCGGTGAAGAAAGAACTACTCATGAACTTCATGAGGAAGTCAACCTCATCCCTAGAAAGCTTTTCGACATCATAAAATGTCTGTGGGAGAGTCGGAATATCGCCGGCCAGATGAGTAGAGCGCAAAGGCTTGTTCCTGTCGGTAGGAAGCGTGCGCTTCTCAATGGCGGACTGAAACTCGTTGAATACAACATCGTTTCTATCAATTGCAGACTGGCAGTCGTTGATAGCAGCCTTGCTCCTCTCAAGGGCAAGATTGCACTTGTCGATGGCTATCTTGCCCTCGTCGACGAAAGACTGACAGTAGTTGATAGCAAGCTTGGATTTGTCGAGAAGAAGCTTGCAGCCATCCACAGGAAAGCTCTTGGGGTCTGCGGTCATCTTTTCAAGCTTGTCGGTGAGCTTGTTGGTAAGTCTGTTGACTTCCAAAGCAATGTGACGGCTCTCGGTGGATTGAGGACACTTTGGCATGGACTCGACCTCAACAGGAACGTCGTGCAAGAGGTCTTCATTGCCAGGGACGTTAGAGGCGTTGTGATCGGTCTTCTGGCGAAGAGGCAACTGCTTAATCCTTAGAGGCCCGCGCTGTCAGTGAGGCATGCAACAATCTTGTGAGTTTTGTCCGTCAAATTACTGGCTGACATCCTTGCGGAGGCTAGAGAGCTCGTCGCGGATCTCGGTACGAAGGTCGGTATGCGAACTGACTTTGAGGGATAGGTCCTTGACGACATCGCGGATATCATTGAGGGCGGTCAAAATGTCTTGCATTCCAAGACTCTGTTCGTTCGTCGGCTGCGAGGGCTGCGCCCCGCCGGCAGTGTTCTTCGTCATCTTCGTGCGAGGTCAAGTTAACCGGAAAGGAGAGGGGCGATCGGAAAAGTAGAAGGTGGAGGGTGGAGGGTGGAGGAGATGGTGCACTCAGGCCTGGGGTTTATATTCCTTAGCGCTGGCGGTTGGCGAGACTTCGGGTTAGTTCATTCACATGTAGTTCATTCACATCTCGTGTTAAGTAAGGTTTAGCGCCTCCAGTTGGCCGGATGATCGCTCCTTTGTTCATTCACACCTGTGAAGTGACTTGAGCACATACAACCCTTATGGCAGTCACTACGGATTAAGGACATCACAAAGCGGACAAGTAGATGCAGTTGCAATTGTAATCCTAGTATTTTCTACGAACTGAGAAGCGAGGCAAACCTGGCCCTCGCGAGCGCGAGAAGCCTCGCGGAAAGGTAAGCTACCTGGCTGCCAAATGCAACCGTCGGTGTGTACCCTAATTGTAGGGAGTGTAGATGAACTGGGTATTGCGGTGGTTCGCCAGCTCAAGGAATGCCAACTCATGGCCATCTCCTCCCCTATATTCACCGTTGCGCTTGCTGAGCTTGTCGCGGATCTTGCGGCGTAGGCCGTGGAACCTAGCGCGCAGACCGCACTTCTTGGTATGCTTGTCATTGTCATTGTTGCGCAGACCACCAACTTCAGTACGTAGAGCGCAGACCTCGGTGCGTAGGCCGTTGACTTCAACAGCCAGATCCTGGATGTCGTCAACGAGGACCTCGACTATCTCATTCAGAGTCTCGATAAGGTCGCGCAAGCTACTGTTGCCGCTGTCCGGGTCGTCGAAAGGCCCACTAGGGCCGTAAGCCAGTAAGGGCATGTCGGGTATGCGGAGAAGAGTGACTTCTAGCTTGGTGGGAAAACAAGAGACCTTATAGTGTAGTCTGTCATCTTTATACCCCCTGCAGCCCTCGGTTGTTACCACACTTACGTGTTGTTCAACCATAAAGTACCAAGAGGTGGAGAGAGCAGAGGCGTGAACGTCACTCTTTCATATGGCCCGGGAGCTTTCATTGAAAGCGGTTTACCTTTTTAGATAGTTGAAGCAAATACTACCTACTAACCAAGCAGTGTGTGTCCTGCGCCGCTACATTGGTGCCTGTGCCGAATTGCCGTTTCCACGGGAGAGCAAGCCCTCCTGACGATCGAAAGCTTCATGGATCTCCTGGCGCAGTTCTAAACTTTCTTGAGAAGTTCCGCAGTCTCAGTATCGTTGGTGCGGTCCCTAGCGTCGGTCTTGACCTTGCTGATCATGTCGCTCATGTCGCTGCAGAGGCGCTCAGGCATGCTGTGGATGTCCTTGCGAAGCTCGATGAACTCCCTGCGAATTTGGGCCTGGTCCTTTTCGCGTACCACGAACTGGTCGACGAACACGGTCATCGCGTCAACCTTCAAAGCTCTCTTTCAGCGTATTCAATCTGCTGTTCATGGTGGTACGCATGTGGTTGAGAGCAGCGAGAATCGCTTCAGTGTTGAGGGCGTTTTTCGGGATGGAATGATGCTTCCGGTATTCGCCAGCAATTTCTTTCGGGGGTTCAAGGAGAGATTTTCCATCCATGATTGCGTGGGTTGCGTGTTGAACAGACGGTGAAAAACTGATCGATTTTGATGACAAGTTGGTGCTGCAGGGCCTGGGATTCATATACCCTAACATTGAGCGACAAAGCTTCAAACAGTTTTGCTTAGACATTTGGAAAGTAAATTGAATTGATTGAAGAACTACTAACCTGCCTGGGAATGCCGCTTCATGTATACTGAAAGGCAGAGATTGTTAACAAATGTGACATTAACGCTTGCTATTTGTTTTTTACCGTACAGTGTCCACTGAGTCGTTTTGGTTTGGTGCAGCAAGGCCCTGAAATGAACCACTATTGCCAATGCATAGGAAACAAAGCTTGCAGGTGGCAGGCTTTGCGGGATTGGTAAGGGTGATAGCTTGTCGCACAAAGACCAGCGGCTACACGCATCAAACAATAAACCCGTCGCATCATTCGCTGCGACATCAAAAATTCCGATTGGCATAGAGGCTAAAAGAGAGGTTCAGCGAGTGGTCAATTTCTGTGACCCGTCCCGCATAAATGCGCGACACGAGCTGCAGATTCTACTCGTCTGCCTGGGGCAGCATCTGGCGACTAACGGATCATCCTCCGCTCCAGACGTTCGATGTTGCGGGAGTCTGCAGGCCGCCCCTGCCGCACGGTCGCACTGTGCATGAAATGCGGGGAAGCTTATTTTTAAGGTTAATTTTAAGCGAGAAACGTCAAATTTTTGTCGGCGGATTTCGTGAAGTGCAACTTTGGAAGTCATATTGGCAGCGCTGAGTAGTCAGTGCAAGGAGACCATCCCTAAGTACCTCCTGCCTTTGTAGTGGTTAACGATATCAAATGTCTTTGGGCTAATTCCCAACGTTCTCGTATTTATACACTCAAGCACAAAATTTTTTGTTGAAATAAAATCATAGGGAGCAACGAGCTTTTCCATAGCATATCAAAAGCTTACACAGCTTTAATTAAGAGCCTGCAACCGTCCAGTAACTTTTTGCATGGTGGTGAAGTGCCCGGGTGCCCCGTGCTTCAATAAGAAAAAAATTTCGATCTCGGCGCTTTCGGTCCAACATTTTCGGCCGTACTCGAACCCAACGCCCACAGCACCGAACAACAAAGCTTACGGCAGGACTCTCAGCTGTTTTGCTGTTGTAGTAGTTATAATGTTGGTCCGCCGGTGGCAACTTCAACAATAACAGGTCGCTTAGCTCAGTTGGTTAGAGCGTGGTGCTAATATCTTGGTTCCTCTCAAGAGCTTCCAAACTGTTAAACGCCAAGGTCGCGAGTTCGACCCTCGTAGTGACCATTCTTTTGCTCTCTGGATGCTTGGGGGCCTTAGGTTTTGTCCTGGGGGCGTGGGGGGCCGTTGGGGTTGAGTTGGTGGGCGGGACGGCGCCGTGGCGGCGAAATTTTTGCGTGCGGCCGGAGCTCGGCGCTCGGGGGAAGCGACAACAAGCAGATGGCTGGAAGAGCTTCTCAGAAGGCCTGGGTGAGACCGTGCGGTTGCGTGCTTTGGGAATGAGAAAAGTTTTACTTAAGAGGGTTTGTCCCGGTTCGTGGTCACTGACGCGACACTGAATGGTTTTGCTGGCAGCAAAGCAGAAAGCAAAGCGGCATGAGAAAATCATTCACGGGGAACGTTTTAATCTTTCCACATATGCCAAAGTCTTTGATGTGGACAAAATCACTTTCAAATGTGTTTGCGACCGCCGAACGCGAGAGGAAAAAGAAAAGAACTTCCATAGGCTGTAAGATTGCATTCTACTAGCTGCTTCGAATGAGAGACATCGGGATTGGCGGATAAAGCGGGTGCGTTTGTACAAAGGACAACGAATCCTTTGAAAGCAAAAATAATTAAAAAAATCCACGGAAGCTTGTGTCTCAACTGCAGTTGATAATAAACACACCCCTCTCACCCACACGCAATTTTTCAGCGCCAAACCGGCCACTGACTTCACTCGCGTGTGATCGCCTTAACACCAGCATGTTTATCAGAGATAACCCGTGTTAGCAATGTCTTCAAACAATGAACTATATCTTTGGAAAAGTTGAACATTCGCTCGTATACTTGATTTTCTTTCCTCAACCCTTTGGCAAAACAATTACAACAACAATCTGCGCGACATCCGCACCAGTTTCCTACATGAATAATCATAGTACAAACCACAATACGAACACAGCAACCATGGAGGCTAAGAGCTCTACTCTAGAGACAACCACTTCCCGCCCGCCCCCGACTCCGCTCCACCTTGAAGAGTATTTCGAAGATATTTACACGACTTGGTACCGTGGAGCAGGCATAGTCCCTGCGGCACTTCATCACCTCTTCGTCAAGAGTCTGAAGTTCTGGGGCCCGCACATGACAGCCTACGAGCGCTGGCACAATGGAACTCCTGGCGACACGCCTCTTACAGAGGCCCAAAATGAGTTCTTCGAGAAGGTGTATACGAGATATTCCAACGGGCCATGGTTCGATGTCTGGACAGTCGACTGTACCAACTTCCTGAGTGACTCTTCCATGCTGCACGAGCTCGACCTTGAGCAGCGCCTAGTCAACACGCGGTACGCTTGGGAGCCGGAAATGGATATCTTGCTTGGAGCCGACAAGGGCGGCACCAAGTACCGTCTTGCGCCCAGCGACATTGAGTGCGAACGCTTCGAAGCCAGCAACTTCAACCGTCTCTGGTACCTTGAGATGCGCACGAGCAGGCCTCCTGCGCGCACCTATATTGGCCCACTCACTGAGGCTGAGGCTATTGCGCAGAATACTGGCCCCGTGTTTAAGGTCCGCATCCTTGGGCTTGTCGAGACATTGCCACTTGCCCCTGAGTTCGACAGCCAGCAAAATCCCAAGTCGCAACCGACTACTTACTGCCTCGCAGGACAGATCAACGATGACACTGGCTACATCGACAGCTTCTGGTTCGTCTCAGTCGAGATGCTGTACGAAAAGAAGGGAAACTGGTCAGTCTTGCGGCGGCCTTTGGGCTACCTGCCCACCACAGCCGGGATCACCAAGCCGTTCATGGCCGCCAAACTCGCAGGCATCTCAAATCTCAGCTACTGCACTGAGAACACTGACTTGGACTGGAAGGAGAACGAGACCCCCTACAAGGGCCAGCAGAACCGGTTCCGCAAGAGGGGCCGGTCTCACAAACGCCAAGCCGTGGAGCCCGTCTTCACTGTGGACCCGCAGCGCGAATACGTCCTTAGTGTGAACCCGGTCTTGGAGCTGGTTGATCGGATGGAGTACATTGAGCTTGCTCCGGTCAGCTTTCAGCAGTCAAGATACAGCTTCCCGGAACCATGTTACTTGAAGAGTGATGAGTCTGAGGACGATAAGCATCCTGTTGACATTGAATCGCTGCTGTACGACGATCTCTCTGAAGTTGATGGGAAGAGCCAGAACGATACTGAAGTTGACTAGGATGACATTGTCGACAGCCTGTGGGGTGCAAAATTTGAGTGCACACAGTGTGAGTAGTACGAAGCATGAATGAATGATAAGTCTGATAAGTCTGAGGATTGTCGAATGTGAGAATCTACACTGACGTCGAAAATTGTTCGTAGCTCGTAAGAGACAGAGAATTTAACAAAATCCGAATTAGGGATTACCATCAACTTTAAGAACTTTGCCTGTGAAATTACGAAATGTGATTCGGCCTAACTGTGACCCTCAGGATGCCTCTTTGTCCTAAATGTTCATCTCAACAAAGTGAGGGATTGCCTTGTTGGACATTACTAACCGTCCGGCCTGAATAAACAGATCCTCGCCTTAACTTTGCAACTTTGTGCTTTTACCTTATGAACCAACGGTTCTGTACTGATCTGAGTTTCAATTGGATTGTTATGCTCTCCACCTTCTACCACACCTCTTCTGCTGGAGAGGGAAAACCCTCTCTAAGTAAAGAATGTAACACAGTGTCTTTGTCCGGCCCTCTATACTTGATTCCCGTTACCTCCTGGCGTGCATCGTGACAGAGGGTTAAGCCAACTTTACTATCTCTGCTGGCAAGGCCTGTAAAAGCCAGTTTAGTTACAACGCCTTCCTCATTCTTTACAAACCAATCCTCAAAATCAATCCAATACAGAAGAGCAAAGCTTTGTGCTAGTGTTTGAAGCACAGCTTTCCAGGCATCTTTTTCAGGTAGAAACAGGGTGTTGATGGCGATACTACGTAAACTCGTTTTGAACGAGAGCAAGAAGCTGCAAAGCGCGCGCGTATCGGGAGATTCGTCATCATGATTCTGGTCATAGAGCGTGAGATGCTCAAGTGGCGGCCTCCATGAAGGAGCAGTAACGAGAATCTGACGAAATAAACCAGTATGGAAAAATTTCAGAGAAAAGTTGGTAAGGCTTGCAGCTTTTGCTACAAGCATAGAGACGGGGCATTCTGGACCGTTGAAAGATCCACTCGGAACAGTCCTCGGGAGGACAATATTGAGCTCCCGGATGTTTTCTTGCCATCTTCGTGTAAATTTTGGGTCTTGAAGAACCGATAACGGTACACGGGATAAACTCAATGGTGCGTCGGAACAAAATCTGCTCATCACTATGTGAAAGGATGAAAAAGGCCGGTTGGACAAAGCTACGAAGCGCAGCAAGAAGCCTAATGCATCACCTTCTGTAACCCAATTTAAGTTACGGTGATTGTGGTCGCAGGGCATATATACCACCTTAAAATTGTGGCAATTTGGGAAGCCATCTGAGAGAATCGGACCCAGAAGAATATCGATGTCCACAGGGAACGGCGGCTCCAGATAGCCTGATGGCGCGCGGTGCCACTCTCCTTGAATCTCTGCAAGAGCTTGCCTCCCTAATCCTTTCGGATTACCACAGACCCTAAAGTTCCGTACGGCTTTCCGCGCTTGTGGATGGCATTCGATTTCAGCGAGGCGTTCAATATATTTTTTACAAAGAACTAAATCGACGGTTTCAAAGCAAGCGAGATAGAAGGCTGGGCGGGTCTTGGTAGACAAGTCTCTGCTGGCGAGATGCAATGAGCTAATATCCTCCTTTTCTAGATAGGCGCAGATCATCTCCAGAAGCTCAGTTGGAAGTAAGCGGAGAATTGCCGTCATATTGTTGGTGTCGTCGTTGCTGTAGTTCGGTAGGGTATTTGATATGGGTAGATGGCTTTGTGTGGAAGTGCCGCTTGAAAATTTTGTTCGGATTTGCTGCAAAACTCTTTGGCCGTGGGGGCGGAAATTGGATGAAAGATCCAATTGGTGGAACAAAATACTCCCTGCTAGGGCGGTAGAACGATCATCCGGCACACTCTTGTATGGTACATAGCATCATGTCTTTAGCATTGTATGAAAGAAACGGGAGTGGATGTGGAAGAAAGAACAGTGCTTCAAAACGTTCAATCGTACATTGTTTTGTGCCCAGGGATTAAACCGCTTTGTTATCTTTTCATAGCGTACTGAAAGCTGCAAAAGAAAGGGAAATTCAAGCAGTGACAGTAGGCAATAGGTTGCCGTCCATGGTCCCCAGAACTACGCAATCATGTCATCCTAAGCATGCTGCATAACTACTTTGACAACCTGCGACCAAAGGTACCGAAGGCATTGCCGTTGGAGCAACCAAGTCCGCCGAAAGGAGAGCTCTTTTTCATGTCCTCTGCGCCGAAAGTACTGTTGTTTTCCCGCTTAGTCGGAGAACCCCCAAAAATCATGCTGGAGCCGACGTTGTCGCTGTTCTTCTGGGCCTCGCGGTTGTTCATAGTGGGAGCGACACTGGGATGGACAGGGAAGGAGTTGAGCATCGTGTGCTGGTCCATGACTTCAGCATGGACTGCCTGTGTGTCTTCGCGAAGCTTAACGAATCCCTTGTCCATATTGCCACTCAGGGCCTTGGACTCGCTCGACATCTGGTCGCACAAGTCTTCTTTGATGTCGGTGATGTCCTTGCGCAGATTGTTGCGGCTGTTCTTGATGTCCTGGTGGATGTCGCGCATCACTCTCTCCATCTTGTTCATGCGAGTGACCGTCATGTCCATCCGCTTGTTTAAGCCGTCTATCTTGTCGCAGATCTCGACCAGGAGCGTTGTGAGTTCGCTGCGATCTTCCTGGTCGGGACGATGCTCCTTCAGCCGACTTTGTTGGGCAGCTAGGCCGTTGAAATGCTCGACGACTTGGCTGTAGAAACTTGCCATAGCTTCGAAGTTTGGGGGAGACTGAGGAGTAGGAGCCATGGTAATCGCGTAATCCCTTTGAGATTTCGTATGCGGAAAGCCGTGAGTGCGATGTGGCGATTTGTAACAGGAGGCGCCGTCAGACAGTGGAGTTGGTTGAGTTGTGTCTGGAGATATTCCAGGGGCCATTTTATAGTTATAGTTACAAGGAGTTGGGGGTTGGCAGGGTTACGCAGCGCAATGACCATGTTAAACAACAGCTCTCACACATGACCCTTTCTTTGTTCAGTACCCTTTGGTCGACCATGCATGGCAGGCAAATGTTTGCTAAAAAAGAACACTCTGGCACGGTCTCATCCTACAAAACTAGCTTTACCACCATGTCGCTCAGCTTGATAGCATCGCCTGATCAGGAAGAAACCAAAACTGTATCTCGCTGAAGTCAGGCGGCAAACTCTCAACAAGCAGATAGCCCAATCATGGCTGCGCGAGTATGAAGCTGAACTTCACAGTTTGTTGATAACTGCGGCTTATGCTTGGTCTTACAGTTGGGCGGCAGTCCATAGTCTATTCATCCTGAAAGATACTGAGGCTCACGTCTATGATGAAGCTCTGTAGATACTTCTTTAGAGAATAGTCCGCTTATTCTCTATGTTTTAGACAGCCAGTATATGCTCTGGACATTACAACAACCACTTGTGCTCACAAAGTGATGAGCATGAACGGAGCAAGGCAAATTCGCGTCGTGATCGCGTGATAACCAAGCCCCAGCCCCCATGAAGCCCCAACTGATCACCCCGTCGCGCGGCATGACTCGCGCCCTGTTTGCGCACAAACACGTGACGACTGCTGAGAAAACAACCCTTCCGCCTGACACTGCATCTCCTCTTTAACAACCAACGCTGCCCCAAGATCTCACCTCAGCATCAATCACCATGTCGTCCGATTACCCCGAGCCAGACTTTGAAATGATGGCCATATATAACGAAGAACTAGCAGCGTACCACAGAGAGGTAGCCGAGAGCTACCGCGCCAGGCTTCGCGAAGAACAAGCTGCCGCACGCGGTCAGGCCTACGACCAGAGTCGCTCCATCGCTCAGAGAGAGGCAACCACTCGCTCTACCATTCCTATTCGTGTTTCCAATCCGGATCGCCGCAATGAAGCTCATCGTCGCGCTTCGGTTGGGAGTGTCACTGCCATCCAGGGTCGTGCAGCGACGCACAATGCCACTCCCGCTCGTTCCTCAACTCCGGCTCGCCGTAACGGCTCTCAGCGGCGCGCCACCATGTCGAGTCTCACTGCTGCTCAGGGCCACGCAGCGACTTACGCTGCTATTCCAGCTCGACCGGGTAGTGGTACTCCGGCTCCCATCGCTAGGCCGGCTCGCCCAGATACCCCGGTGCCCACTTCCACCCTGGCTCATCCACCCGCTCAGGAACGCCCTACTGTTCAGGGTCTTAACGATATCGTGAAGCTCTTGACAGACACTCTTGGCAAGATTGAGGCTTTGGGGACCCGCAAGGACAAGATGGATACCAAGATGGACAAGCAGACGGACATGCTGGAAAAGATGAGCCAGAGCGACAACCACACGAAGCAAAACGTGGTTAAGAGGACTCCATCCGATCACGAGAACAGGCAGATCCATGCCTCGTAAGTGCACCCTCTCATATTATGGTTAACTACCCCGACTGATACGCAGGACCTACAACGAACAAGCCCGCCGCGAAAACGGCCAGCGCCGCCACTTCATAGGCATCCCTCTCGTACCACTTAGATCTATTCGCAAAGACGGTTTCGTCCCCTACTTCCCTTGGACGATGAGCGAGATCAACACCATGGACAACGACACTATGAAGACCGTGTTGTGGCACTTGGGCTGCGAAGCGTCCACAGACCCCGCCGTGATGAAGAACATGCTCTTGTCTGCTATAGGCCTTTTGCCTTTGAGCGCTTAAGCAGTTCGAGAATTCAAGAGTTATCGGACATGCCAGCTGTGTTCACTAATGCTCACCAGGTCATGGTCCCGACGTGGTTGCAGTTGGCTCTGCTCAGCTTGACAAGGACTGTTTCGATACTATATACTGAAGTTTAGGAAACCTGCAGGTAGATCAATGCAAACATCTACCTTGCAAGTTCATTTGTCCTTGCAAACACGTATTTGGCCACATGCTAGCTTCAGGCTGTACGAAACATCAAGCAGCTGCCTCAAAGCTGTGTCGAAAGTGCCTACAAATGCATATGGCTTACGCTCTACCCTTGTATACGTACGCAGTCTTGGGCTATTCGAGTTCCTTGATTCCTCATGAGTTTGCCATCTTCATAACACTGTAAAAGATCCTTCGGCATTCTAAGTTTATGCCTTTATGCCTGTTCGAAAGCTACTTCTGTTTCTGTAGATATATGCCCTCGTGTCCTCTACAATATCCTTGGCCTTAGTAAATTTTCAAGTTAGTATTATTATCTGGCGACTACTATCTGTATCGTTACAGAATGTAATAACTACCCAAGGGATGCTTTACTAGTTACATAGATTTTCTCACTCCGAGACAGATCTCTGCACGTGTGGACCCGCTAAACAAACCCCTAGACATCTCCTCCTAAGGTGTTTTCTCTATAACTCTCCTAGGAGAGCTCTAAAGGACACCCTCGAGACAAATAACCCTAGTTTTTAAGAGGTACTTACCGGACCAGGAATCCTAGCTACGCTAGAATTCCTTAAATAAACGAGGATAGCTATACGGAAATAGCGCCTTAACGACCTTCCCGAGGGGGAGTAAAACTCCTACAATTCCGATCTACTCCTTTCTATTTTATCTTCTCTAAAAACCCCTTTCTTTCCTTCGTTTTTATCACCTCGGCCTAGATCTAACTATCCCTCGCACCACCTCGCTTTTATCTTATATTTAAACCCCCTAGCCAGTCCTAAATAGACCGTCCGTTATAGTTTCTAACTACATATAGACGTAAAACGAATCAATTAATTAATTAATTAATTAATCTACTTCTTTATTCTCTTTAATCCTACTATAGCTTAGAGATTTTAGCTAGGTAAGGCTAGGGTAATTATAGGGAGAGACGTTTCTAGTTTCTATACGTTTATCTAGAGTACTCAGGAGGTATTTTCTAGGGCTTTTACTTACGTAGTAAGGATAGACTTTAAGTAGTCTATTTTTCCTATCTTTATATAATCCCTAAAGATAGAGAAGAGATCAAGAAGGCTCTCTATCTTATCGGTATCTTGTTCCGCGTTAGCTACCTTTAGAAGGTAGTCTAGGGAGGCTTAGAGCTATTTAGTAGACGTTTTCGGGACGGGAAAGCTACTAGGGTAGCGAGTCCTTTTAGGGTTTTTATCTAGCGTAGCTAGGAAGGCGAAAATATTCTTCCGTTAGCGCTTACCGTAGATAGAGATAACTACTAGGGATTTCTCGTTTTAGCGGGAAATTTCTAGAGTAGGTGTAGTTTCTATTAGCGGGTCTTCCCTTATAATCTAGGGCTGAGTCTAGTTTATTTCTAGTTCTATATCCGTATCTTCGTCCGTTAGGATTAGAGAGGATAGGATAATTCTTAGGCGGGTTAAGGGGGACGTAGAGGGATCCTCCTAGATATTAGGGGGGCGGGTTTCTATCTCGAGATTGGCTGGGTGCCTCTTTAGTCTCGAGGTTATAGTTCCGGGTAGTTTCTAGGGGAGGGGTTTTAGTAAGGAACGCCGAAAAATTTTCCCGCTAGGTCGGAGGAAAGACTGGTATGTTTTCCGGTTGTAACGTAACAACCAAGGCCTAGGGCCTGGTGCAAGTTGGGGGGGTAGATAAGCTGGCTGTGCCAGTTCGTTTGGCGCCGGATTTAGGTCCCTGGGAGCGCTAGTTGTTGCGTTCCCTTCTGCCTCGAGAAAGTTGAAGCTTTGCTCTAGGGCTATTAGAGTACCTGGATATTAAGGTAGTAGACGGCGGAGGGGCCAAGGGCTTTAAAGTCGAACTGCTTGTTACTCCCCGTCTTAGAGTTATCGGGTAGGAGAGGCGGTACCCGCTATCCCCTGATTCTAAATACGCTGCGCTCGAACTTTTCCTCGTCCACCCGCTCGTATACTATGCCTCCACCTTTCGGCCGCTTTTCCATCATCTTCTCGGCTAGAAAAAACCGCTCTAGCCCCATATTCACGTACGAACGGGCACTTTGGCGCTATATCCATACTGCGCCGTATGCAGCGGTAATATTATTCTCAAACGCCGCTCCGCCGTCGACCCATACGTTGATGTTTCGAGCGCCGAGAAGGTCCCGGTAGAAGGCGACTTTGCCCTCTTTAGGCAAGGAGGGGACGTGGAAGTGCGAGGTCGGCGTCGTGGGCTTGGCGCGGCTTGAAAAGAATGGCGTCAGGACGTGGATGCCACGAGGGGCGAGGACTGTCTTGGCAAAATCCTCATCGCTGAGCTTTGCGACGTTGCGCCTTATTGTGCTTGTGCTTGCGCTTGAGCTTGAGCTTGAGCTCGCGACTGGACCTGTGCGCGCGAGGCTGGAGCCTTTTTGCTGGCCACTGTGCGACTACGAGGTTTTCTGGCGTTTGCTGGGCGGCTGGGATCCCTCATTTGGCGGGCTCCCAATGTCGCGGCGGGTGCTGGCCAGGGTGCTTGCGCGGGTGCTTGCGCGGGTGCTTGTGCGGGTAGCGGGTTGTCGCGAACTGCTTCCTTACTGCTGCTTGGCTTTTGCCTTCGGAGGCATTGTTGACCGAAGATGTCTTGTATCTTGTAGGGAAAAGGTTCTGAGGTAGAAGGTTGAAATTAAAGTTTGGTTTTGTGGTGTCCTTGGCGATGACCTTCTTGATCCAGCTGAGTAATCATGTGGGAAGCAACCTCACCAAATTAATGTGTTGAGCAAATGTGGTGAGCAGTGCGGAGATACGGGGAAATCGTGAGGCGGCTCTACCACACCCTTGCTGCCAAGCAACGATTCTTTCATCGACGTTCAAAGTTGTAAACCGAGTTTCCTTTCTCAGAGAGGTGCAGTATGGGGTGAGGCTCCCCACGGGTCTTGCGGCTCTGTTGTAGGCTCTTGTCACCGTGTCACGAAGCAAACGGTTTGTTCAGACGTTCGATGTTGTGGACCAAGTTGCCTCTTTCGGTGAGGTGCAGTGCGGGGATGCAGGGGTTCGCTACGTAATCGTGCAGCTCGTGTGTACAAGAAATGCGGCTCTCTTGCGACCTTTGTTCCGGCATCTGCGGCGTAGCTTGCGCGAGATACTTGTGCATGGCTTTAAGCGTCTGTGAATTTGGCTGCTTCTGGTCGAGAGGGCCTTGTGGCGCCCAGGAACACTGCTGATCCTGTCCAAGTCCCGAACAGGCACAGGTACGGTTTCCCGTATTGAAGGTAATGAAAGCCCTATAACGATCTTTCGACAAAGCGAGCTTTCGAAGGACCGCACAAGGTGCAACATCCTTTCTGCTGCGAAGCCGTCATCGTGCCTGAAAGTTGTGCCAGGTCTGTTCCAAACGACCTCTCATCCCTCCCAACCGGCCCCGATCATCACCGTGTTTTGTTCCTCCACTCATACGGTAGATAGTCGTGTTTGTTCGGCAGCATCTGAAAGATCAGTCGTTGATGGCGTTGAATACGATCGGGCCGGCCTTGTTTCATCCCGCTCTTCTGTCAGCAAAGCTTCTGGAAGAAAGCAAAAAGCAGACGCTAGCACTTACTAGCTTCCTGAGGCATGGCGCTATGCACCTTAGCCGCTAATCAAACTGCCTGCTGTGGTATAGCTTCGTGACTTGAGCGGTTGGTATCGGACCGAAGGGTCAGATCAATGCGTGGAGGACGTCGTGGACGTGTGGGAGGTGTGAGGGAGGGTCAAGGGCCAAGTTCCATTGCCCTGAGGAAGTCAGCTATGGTCGTGAGAGGGTGAACGGCTTCGTGAGCTTCGGATCGTGGCAGAGTGTTGAGAAGGTGATGGAGAAAGATGAGGCGGCTGGCACGCTGGCTGGGAGCTTGGCCCGAGTAATTTTCATCGCGCTAAACTCATTATGTGAGTCATGCGCAAACGCACCACGCCCATGACAAGCAGATACCCTTTCCCACGTCGACCCCCTCCATCCCGTACGCGCCGCCATTCCAGCTCCAACACCCAGTTGCGCTTCAAGCAGCTCTACGCCATGCTCCAGGCCATGCTCCAGGTCACGCTCCACAGGCAGCGGTCTCACGCCCACGACACGCTCACCCAGCCGCCGCACGGCACCGAATCGCGCGACGCGACCGCAGCTAAGGCGTGGAGAAGTACACGTCGGACACAATAGGCAGTTAGGTTCGAGGTTCAGCTTGTGGCAGCTCAGCGGTCGAAGCCGTGAGGCTGTCCGAACGGATGGAGCGGCTTGCGGCTCGCCGCGCGGCCGGGAAAGCTGTGGCTGGGCCTTGTTGACGGTAGGGATATTACTCAGTGCATGGCACAAGTGGCTGGGGAAGAGAACTTTGGTGTTCAGATGCGATGGCGGTGGAGATGTTTGGTGAGTAGACGCATGCACGTGACTGCTCTCAGGATTTTCTACACAAATGTTCTTTGTTTCCACAGCGTCCAGTGTCTACCAGCTTTAGAGGCTCTGCATGCTTATTCCTGCAGTTTATGGGTTTGATTTATTGACGGTCAGGTTGTTAGGAATCTCTTGCTGCTGCCACTGCCGCGTGCTCTGCGGGGAGCTTTTCTGGCGGGAAACCAGAAAGCGCGGCACAGCGCCCAAGGTAAACAAGCAAGACCAAAAGACGATGAGTAAACTGTATTTGTTTGAAATGGGTTTGCGGCTTGTGTGGTCAAACACTGGGAGTTGAGATTTGGCTGCTCCCTTTGACATCTGAGACCACCGCATTGGTCAACCGTTCCTTTAATTCTTATGAAGAGGCTAAGTGGCAATTCGAAGCAGGTTCTTTTCAGCCTAATTCACTCCCAGTGCTATAGTTACATAAAGGATTACTTGGAGTTCGTCCTTCAAAAACTTCCACACCGCCTGCCGCTCTATGCTCCATCATACGGTTCGACATCAGCGAAAGGAAGCTCTTTTGCAAACAATTCAAACTCCACAACCGCATCCTTGCCATATAGCTTCTTCTCAAGCTCCTTCACTGAGAACGACAGTAGTTCTTCCAGTTTCTTGCCCGTCGTTTCCTGTGCTGCAGAAACTATAGCGAAGATACTTCTCAGCTGCGAAAGGCTGTACCCCGCACGGAGCAGCTTGCTAGATAGCTGAACCTCAAGCCAAATAGCAAACATGCTCAATGACCAGACCCCGTGAAGGATCAGTATGATTGACGAAAGTAATGTGGAGAAGCCCCAGCGATATGAGGCATTCTTGTCGGTATTAGGTAGGCACCTCGTATTGTCGTGGACCTGGCTATAATTGTAGAGCACTCCATCATAACAGTATGGCGTGGCATCTTGGTAGGTGTAGCCAGTAAGGTGGGGAAATATCTCAGCAAATGTGAAGTTTCCGCCACCAACGGGTACATAGACGGTTTCGTTGCCTATTAAAATTTAGCCAAGTCGCTTATCAAATCGAAACATGGTAGTCTATACAATTATGATTATCATAAGATGGATAGTCGCGGTATGTTTCGTTAGGAAAAAACCAGCCTAATTCCTGTTAGGTAGGGAGAGAGATATAATGTTCATATACCAACATTCTTTGTCATCATATGGTCCAGGATAAGAAACCTTCCGGTCGGGTGAGTACCTGTAAACATATGAAGCTTCATCGTCAGGGTCGCATGAGCTATTGCTTATATTATTGTTGAGTCTATTAGTGTTATTCAATTTAAAAATAAAAATTAGAACTTACATTCTCCTTGTTGGAGGTTTACTAACCGAAGTTGCGTACTAATGTCTTCTTCCACCAAACACTTATTTGTGTTATTGCTAGAAAAGGTGTGTCCCAAATAATTGTATATTTTTTCCTCCGTGGGGATGAAAACGCTAAGGTTCGGGAGCCGGGTGAACGGGGATGTCGAGCTTATGTAGCCAGTTGTTGCTGAGAATAGTGTCGGTAATGCTATCACATAGGTCATAGCCAGTGCCATATATGCAAAGCGCCACAAAGTGTGCCCCTTCCCATAGCAACCAATATCTTGAAATAAAGAGACAACAGTGCTCGCAGACACACTACTAAGAGATATGCTATTGAATGTGCGGTAGGGAATTGGTGATACCTCTATAGCTCGTATGAGAACGTCTGAGAAGACTTTGTAGCTGAACAAGCCGGCGAGGAATTGCATTCCGCGGGAAACAAGAAGATCCCATGCCGTATCAATCAACTTTGCGACCCAGAAGGGGAAATTTCCGGCAGTACGGTCAACAGTAAACAGATTCGCAAATCTGAAATGATTGACTGTTTCCTCGGATGTTGTGAAGTCTTGACTGCAGCTCATAGGAACTGTCTTGAAAGGGTGTTTTAGTATACAAAAGTAGGTGATAAGCGGTACGAGGCCATAAATGAACAAGGCTGTCAAAGCTACAGCATGGCGCCTGAAGCCGTGATGTCGAATGCCATTCTTGAGCAAGTGTATGTCGTTACTAATGGGACTCTTCAAGTATGCGCCATACTGTCGAACGCCGTCTTTGAGCAAAGGTACTGAGTTTTCAATGAACCACCCAAGGTATTTCATGCTGAAAGCATCCTTGAAGTCCATGAAGAATGTTTTTGCTGGCCGAATGTCAGGATCCAGAGGATCTTGGTTACTTGAGTCAGCTAGCCGTTGGTGGTCTAGTGGATGGAGTCCGGAAGCTGAATCTTCTGGTAAGTCGTGCATTTTGACCTCGCGGTAACTGATTCCAGCCATAATGAAACCCTAACGAAAGGACATCGGTTTGTAGAGCGATCAGGGGAGTGCAAAAAATGGAGGAAGGCTGAGGCCTAGGAGGTATACGTCAACATGATGTAAATTGCTTATTCTGTTTGTGTACTTTTGTACACTGTACAACCATGTCTAAAAATGGAATGGTAGCATTCACCGCTAATACTATTAAGCGGTTCCTTAATGCACCTCTGACACGTTCTTAGATGTAGGGGAAAAATAAAACCATGATTTGATAGGCTATGACGATACGGATATGATTCCTTTTCTGTTAAGGCGCTTTCTTTTAATATAAACATTGCTTTTTTGTTGTTTCAACACCATGTTGCCACCTGAAACATTCTACAAGCGAGGTTTTACCCACTCTGTTCTTTGGTGTATACAGACCTCGCTGTTAACCATTTATTTAATTGCGTCGTAGGTATCTGCTTCCAAATTGAAGAACGCGAAGTTTTCCGTAAGGACTTTAGGACTTTAAAGACTTTAACTAGTACGGGTATCCCGATCAAATGATTGTAGATCCTTTCTAACAAGGCCATCTAATACTAGGAGTCTAGGTATTACCTAAAAGATTTCTATAATAGGAACTTATTCCTTCGGATAGAAGGTTCTACTAAATTACTTAGGAATCTTTCTTTCTTATTATTTCTATTTATATTCTAAGTAGATTATTCTAGAATACCTCTTTTAGATATAAATACTCCTATAGATAGCGCTGTTTAGGAGGAACAAGGACGTTTATTCCTAAGTCTCTTTACCTAAATTCGAATTATCTAGTAGATAAACGCCGAGTGGGCTAACCAGAAAGTCCAGTACCGAGACCTAAAAAGACGCCACCGCCGGGAGGGACGAGAAGAGAGCGAAGCGAAGAAGAGAAAAGAACGCTTTCACAAGAAGTACCTTATGTCTATGGTTAAAATATTTAAAGTATGAAATCAGCAACGCTGACTTTTGGTATCCAATTGCTCTTGCCGAGACTAAAAGCTCTAAGTGGAAAGTATGGTTGAATACACCATACCTCTTTGCTTCCGCGGAAACGGCACAACTCTGTATTCACTATACCAACGAAACAGCTTCGCTACGGATTATCAAAGTGAATGGAGGGAAGAAGCGTATACCTTGCATATCACTCTACAACTCACGACATGAATGGGTTGGAGTACTGTAGTTGCACAGCCATAAATTCTGTCGATATCCGGGCTGATATGAGGTACAACTGGTGACTATAAACCGAGGGACACTCCCAAATGGTATTGATAATGAAGAAAATTCATGGGATATCGAAGAACATAGTATGGAGGAGAGGTTAAAAGAGGGGGTATTATACGAGTTCTATAATGTCATGTGGATTTCTTAGAATAATGGAGTTGCTTACCGCGAGGCTGTAGGGCGGGTAGAGAGGCGACAATGGGAGTCACTCAAGCCGGAAATGATTGAGGTTGTATTTGGCTAAACTTTGTTACTGCGATTTACGATTTCGATGGATTGGCATGAAATTTCATAGCTAGTGATTTATCATTGCTTGTACTGTTGGCATCGGTCTAATCCATGCTGATAGTAGGAAATATTCTAGCTCTATCCAATCTACTGGCCGTTCTTGAGCCGCTGGTAGCTCCAATTTCCAGAACTTTCGAGGAACCACAAACCCACGACGTATTCTTCTGGCAGAACACCCCAAGCAAACCACTCACTACGGTCCGCCATCCGAGAGATGTCCGGGTGAGAGCCCAGTATACATAAAAGATCTTTCTTTGAGAACACCCACACCGCCGAGTCCCTCGTTAGTTGTATTTCAGCGACCTTGACTGACATCCGGTCCCGCCACCATACAGGCATCTTGCGCCTCCGATTAGCTTCTTTGAATGCCCTCTCTCTGTTGTCATAAAATGAAATAAATGGAGTTGGACAACGATTACTCCAGTCTAGATGCCGCAATATGCTCGTGACGGTGATGTCGTTCTGTGGTTCGGATATATAACAGCAACTATTGCCGCACACGATGCCGACTTCAGAGAGCTGTGTCTGAGAACAATCGTCGTAGACATGGTAGAGTTTCTGAACTTCGCCTGGACTGAATTGATGAGGTTTGATAGGTACACGTAGCTCCTGGGGAGACGGTTGCATGTAGCTTTCCATGATCGAGTGATGTTGTGGTCGTTTGACAATGTAAAACTTGCTTTGGGTTTGGTTTGCGTCTCACTTTGTTTTTGGGTGCCGTAGTGGCTCTTTTATTAACTTATTTTTCCTGATTGTTTTGGTCGCGAAAGGTGTGCTTTCCTTTTTGTATTATTAGGAGCTCCTTAAAAACCGATCTATCATTCTATGGAGAATGTGCACACTCACTGACATCAAGGAAAAGCGTAACAACTTCAAGTCGAAATTGAAAGCTAGGTAACTACTATCTTAAAATTAAGTGCGAAGTGGTAGAAATAAGGCGGAGATCTGACGCTGCCCAACACTGATAGCTAACAAGGGTATGTGGACGGCGGTGCCCAATGCGGCGAAGAGATCAGTTCATTCTTGCATGAGGCTGTAAGGTAGGGTATATGGCGCTGGTATATCCTTGCTCCATACGTACCCGGGACTGCTCTGAAGAATGAAAAATGCCGAGTTTTAGAAGTATGTGATCTTGCGAGGGAAATTGAGCACCGAGGACTGCAAGAAAAGATGAAGTATACAATGTTCAGTAACAGGTGCAGTTTGGCTGCCGCTCAAAATGACGATGCGATCGCTCTGCAAGATGTATGGACGCCTCGTATATAGACCCTGGCGCAGATTTGCAGTAGCCGGTGAACCATTTTGAGTAGCAAAGCGGCTGATCCTGTCATTTGCGTTCTGCATCCAAGCCACCAATAGCGTGGCACAAATAGGATGCCTCGCTTGAGGGTCAGCTGCCGAAGTTCCTGTTGCGCAATTTTGATTTGTCGAAAGTCGTCCTGCAGGCGATCGAGCAACATGCAAGAAATCGACAGTTGCGAAAAACGTGCAGTCACGCGTACTAGGCACCACTGCGGCGCGGTCCGTTGCGATTCCAAAAGCGGCTAGAATAAAGCTCTGAGATGTGAAATATAAGGCTTTCCTTTTATATACATTAATAAAGGTTTTGCATAGCCATGCAATTTTAAAGTCACTTCTCGAAATCGCCTTCCACATATATCAGTAGTTAGGATCTTGAAAATTCCACTGGGGGACCTAAACGTCAACTAAATTATAGATTGCCGATTCAGTTCTCTGTTCGACACATGAGCAGCTGCTAGAGCTGAATGGGTTTCACATATTTTTTCTGTTGCTCTTAGTAGTTGACCGTATCTTAGCATGTTTCTCGTGATGTATATTCTTCCACCTTTGGCTAAATATGAAGGTAAATAGAGACTTCCTTCTTATCCTGCTTGTTTTTGCCGATAATGCCAGTTTCTAAGCTATAGTAGGCTAACAACTTGTCTCCATAGTATATATTCCTAGACGAACCACTAATGCTTAGCCGTGTTATAGTAAGCGCCTAGCATTCGCTTGTGTTCTTCCCTGAAAAATATCTAAGCTTTGGAATCCTCTCTTAGCTCTATTATAGCGACCCTTACTGAGTTAGGATTTCACAGCACCCCATTTCGTTTCAGTCTTCCCTCTGTTTCTATCTTTGTTGCATTACCATTGATACAAAAGGAGATAAGCTGGGTGGATGTGCGATTTTCTACTCAAAATGACTTGCCTGGAAACTCTAAAAACGGATGTAAAATGTGGTGATAGGTTGCGACATCCGTTTAGATGTTTATGAATATCCTTGCGATCGTTTTGGTTCTTTCGTGTGTCTTGAGCTTTTGTTTTTCGTCGGTAAAAAGCACCTAGTATTACCTAGTTCCGGAAGATTCGGCTATGAGAACTTAATTGTGTATGGTACGCTCACTGAGCATCTGTGAAATAAAACTGGATAGAACCTGCTCCTTAAGAGAGTAGCGTTCTGGACACTATTTTTGGTGTATGAGAAGACTTAAAAATGAAGCACTGTATTGGCTCGCTGTTGCCTGGAGAGTTAACCCATTGCTACTTATCAGGCTAAAAGTAGCATTGATGATGCACAGACAACACGCCATAGTAGCACTGCCCAATGTCGGTAGTTAACAAGGGTCCGTAAAAATTGGTGCCCAACATGGTGAAGATGATAGGTGTGTTGTTGCATGAGCCAACAAAGCTGGAAATTCCGTCGATTTGGTACCTAGATCGACAGCCACGAGGTCGCCGTCGGGCCATGAAGAGCGGGAGTCATTGGATCTGCATTTAGTCGTACAGGCGACCTAGACCGAGGCAGAACAACGCGTGCGCAGTCTCCGCCAATCACGTAAACTCTAGCAAAAATATAAACAAAAAGAGAAAAGGGATATAAATGTATACAAGACTATAAATTACTGGTCTGCAACCTCTCGGCCCGCGTTTACACAGGTGAAAACTATTGCAATCTTACACGTGAGTTTCAGGCAAAAGGTAAACTGCAGTAGGCAAACGAAGACTCGAAGTCGCAGGTACCGAAACTACACTATTTTGGCTTACAACCTGGGGTAATCTGCTTAGGCTGCATATACAAGACCAACATCGTGGCTCAAGTCGGATTCCCCGGTTGTGTGTATGCGTGACACGCAACATCTCGGCACGCGCGACACAGGTCCCGGCATACCTGATGTAGAATAGATCAGCGCCTTTGTGAAAGAATTATCGTGCATGTTAGGCAACACCTCGACGTGGCCAACCTTATTGCGCACTTGTCAAGCGCTGAAAAGCTTTGTTGTTCTGCACGATGATGCAACAGATTCAAATTTTCTGGTTGCGTGGTACCGTCTTCAGCCTCATCTCGTTCTCTAAACCCAACGGCACGTGAAGCTAAGGTTGGGCTTCGTTGAAAAATTCAAATATAAAAGTCTTCAATTCAACTAGGAATTGGATAGCAAAATTCTTCAACTGCATCGAAACAACCTCGACAGCCACTATGTCACAAGAGCAGCTCCTGGCTCAGCGAATGGGCGGTGATCCAAAATTGCTTGAAAAGGAAGGACTTTGTCTCTTGTCTCTCGGTATTATTTCCCGAATGTGTTGTAGAGTTTGGTATTTGAACTAACATTTGGTGACAGATGGTGGAGGAGTGCGAGGGTTGTCCTCGTTATACACATTGCGATCATTGATGAAACGCCTGAATAAGGAACGTGGTGCTCCCGTCAAACCCTGCGATCTCTTCGATCTAATTGGTGGAACAAGCACTGGAGGGTGAGTAATTTTGAATGCTTTTACGGAAGTCGAGCTGACTCGATTAGGCTTATCGCCATCATGCTCGGCCGACTCGAAATGGAAGTCGATGAATGCATCCAGTCGTACGTAGACTTGATGGGGAAAGTCTTCCACAAAGGGCGGGTCTGGAACCCATTTTCGATAACTCTTGCTGGAAACAGAAGAGCTCGATTCGATTCACGAAAGCTTGAAGAAGCTATCAGAGCAGTAATTTTGAAGCAAAACATCAATCCAGATGAGCCATTCAATGACGGTAAAGTCCGAGGATGTAGAGTGTATGTATTTACCAACAGCCATGATTGCACTGGCTAACAAGCAGTATAGCTTTGTTTGTACTACATCAAAACGATATACAAACACGGCCACCACAATCTTGAGGAGCTACGATCCTCCTGAAGATGTGTTAACATTCTACCCTACAATAATCGAAGCCGCCCTCGCGACGTCTGCAGCGCCAACCTTTTTTGACGATGTGCAGATTGGTGAGCGTGGCTTTGTTGATGGTGGTTTGCAGCTGAACAACCCCGTGGCCAAAGTCGAGGAGGAAGCATCTGATATTTGGTGCCCCAAAAATGGGGAACTGAAACCCTTGGTGAAATGCTTTGTTTCGATTGGTACCGGATACCCCAAGGAAGTCACTGTCCAAGACAGAACGCTACGTTTCCTAGCGGTGACAGCAGTGAGCCTTGCCAGCGAAACGGAAATCACTGCCAAGGAATTCATCAAACGCTGGCGAGGCCACTATGATGAGAATCGGTACTTTCGTTTCAATGTCCAGCATGGGCTTGACAAGATTGGCCTTGAGGAGTACCAGAAGCGGGGAGCTGTCGAAGAGGCAGCGGAGAACTACTTGAGCCAGCAAGAGCTGAGAGGCAGCCTACGGAGATGTGTTGCAAACCTGAAAGAGAAAGAGAGTGTGTGGATCGACAACTGTGATTATGCATAGAGCTAGATAAGCTGGTTATGAATGCAGAGATGGTCGTACTCGACTTCAGAGACCTTATATTGGATATCGCCACTGGAAATTCTCCCACCGCTTGATCCATGCCACTTTGATGAATTGGACAATAGATTCTCTTTGAAATTCGCTGAAGGAACATGTAAACGGATCACGCGTGAAGCTAAGTACGAAAGATGGCACAAGCAACAAAATGCCGTGTTGTGGGTACTTAGAAAGGCCGGTTCCGGCCAATCATTCTTTGTATAATAGAATAGGTCAAGTTTTTTTATTTTCATTTCGGTTTGGTTAAAATACCCTACATGTGTTTATACTAGTTGCATAGGAAAACAGCAAACAATGTCCGCAATTTAACTGTAGGAACTGTATCAAATTGCAACGAAGTATTGCTTGCAAACCTGAGTTGACCATACCGATTTCTCGCTTATCTGGTCAATCCATTACTTCGAACAGTGCTCCAACGCAACTTCTGGCTCAAGGAATTCAACAACTCAAGCCGACGCCATACATCAGCGAATCTTGTGTCAGCCATGATTGAATCCCGATCAGATGTAGGCAGTTCATAAGCGGGTAGGCGTAACCAAATCTCCATTTCCTGAAGACGATCTGGGTAAAGTTTTTAAATAAGCATTGTTTTGCATTGTAAAGAAACCTGAATGAAAGAACGCTTACCAATTGACTTTGTGAAAAAGAAGTCTTGGAAGATGCTTCGTCTGATGACATCAAATTGTTTCACTTCCGGTAGAGAATCGTAGACCATCACTTTGGTGTTGGAAGGTGAGCATGCCAGTTTCTCATCGTCTATATTTGTCAGCTTGCGTTGGCCAAGAAGTCGAGAAAGAGAAAACCGACCCGTGAAATTAAAGGCCTGAAAAGCTTGTAGGATTGTGCGATCATCCGGCAGGCGAGGTACCAGTGCCATGAGGTTGATAGCCAGTGGCAACCTCCAAGGCGGACCAAAAAGTTCCCCAATCTGCATCGCTGCCTGAATCTCTTCCGAGCTCACTTTCTGGCATCCAGGCTCTTCCGAGTAGAAAGCCTCGCGATGGCGAATCACTTGGTTTGCCCATTCGGGATTCGGAGACAATGGCCGTTGCGCCAGTACCTCGAACTCGGGCAGGATGTCGTAAAGGCCACTAGCGATAAGTGCCCGAGCCGAGACAACTGCGCATTTGTCCTCAATTCTCAGTGCTCCTTGCGACAGATACTCTCCGAAATAGAACTTTCCCTTGAATTCACGGTGTTGTTTATCCCGTAGCTTCTCCAGGTTGGCAAGCCGCTCGTTGAGTGGGCTGTAGGTCCGGATCAGATCCATATCCCGGATGAATGTTCCTTTGGGGAAGCTTGTCGTGTCCAGAATACCCAAGCAGATGTTGTCAAAGTTGAATCCGTCCGTAGCATGGCGGTAGAAAATGTACACCAAAGCGTACAACAGTGAGCTCGTCCAAGTTACGAGATTGTCATCCCAGTCTCTCCGCCAGCGGAGGTGACCGTTGATCATGCTTGCTACTCGTGGATCATCATTCCTGTCGAAAACGTCTACTCTGCTTTCACTGCGGGCGTAGATAGCAGCAGTGGACCTGACCCAGGACGTGTTGATGGCGCCAGTGATGTTTGGAGTGAAGATCCGGAACAAGTAGCGCGGTACATCGTCGAAGTTTTGCTGGTACTCTTCTGGCGGCCGAAATGGGAGACATTCGCCATGCATAAAGTCTTTGCGGGCCATGGCTTAGCTGCGAGATCCGTCCAGCGGGTCTTAGATGAAAAAAGAATCTGTAAAATGGCCTTTCGGGCCCAAGGCACAGCTCGAGGTACCGGAGGAGTCTGATGGAATTATCGAGATAGTTGAAAATGCTGGGCAATATAATAACCTCTGAGTCGAAATATTTGGACCTCGCTTGGACAGCATTCACATGAGGTTGCAGTGATTGGTTCGTTTCATGCACCCATACAGTGCCACGTAAGCCAGCGTTACCGCTTCATGCAAGCGAGTTCAACGCTGTACCTTTGTTGGCTCCTCAAAACAAGCGACCAGTCTATTTGCAGACACTAATTACGCTTACCCATGTAATCGCATGACCTGGTCGCCGATCGTGGCAAGACCCGTTACATGATGCGAGTGCTGGTAGGACACGTTCTTTGATCTTCCCCAACATCGCGTTACTTGCACCGCGAGAATCATCCAGCCGCATCAGCAGACCTTCTCGTTCGAGTTCTGAAACACATCTTGAGCGCAGAAATCCTCCACGCCAATCCCGACCAAAGATAAAGTGCCTTTCATCGCCAGTCGTGTCCGGACACGCTCTTGCCCACTGTTTTTGCCCACGTTGATACTTTCTACACGTAGTCAACTGTAGCTGTTGGTCCGATATATTATGATATTGCGATAGGGTCGGTCTGGTGCCAATGACAATCTTCGAGAAATACCACGCGTCGCATGCATTGACTACACCAATATATAGATAAATGGTTATCTCGGTCGGACAATGCATGTAGAGAAGCTATCTAATTGCTATGCTGGGAACATAAACATGTGTATCCAGATGTTGTAGTTATAAAAGATGATTGGGAGTTATTGTCCGACAATGCTTTATCAGCAGAAATCCATTCTCGTTACAAGGACTGAGAGTCGACTAGTTATGCCTATGGCAGCGTACGGGTTTATATGTTGCAGAATAAGTCACTGATGAATTTCCGAGAGCTTATGATTTTTGACAGACTTTTACCAATCTTAAGACCCGAACGACTCACACAATCGCTATTTGGCTTCATCGAATTTGACTCCATCGTGAGCAGCCTCCAGTATAGAAATCAGCTGCTCTTCAGTCAGGAACCCTTTCAGCCATCTTTTTGCCTTGTGGATGATAAGTTCCAGCAGTTCACGCTCATCCCCAAACTCTTTCTCCATGTACACCACGATCAGTATCGTAGGCCATAATAGCTCTTCCGTTGAAATCTTTGACAGTCGACCTCTGATGTCATCCAGCGTCGCCGCCCAAAATGACGTAGATTCCAGGACATCCAATGTCTTCTCAGTCAAATCGAATGACCCTGCAGCAGTTTGGGCATCTAGGAAAACCTCAATGCTTAGAGATTGTTGTTCGTCTTGGTCCCATACGCTTCCACTGTTATCCGAATCAGGTGTTGATAAATTCGCCTCAAGTTGTAGGAGCTCATCCTCATCTATTTCGGTCGCCATACTTTCCAGCTCTCCCTGCGGGGCCAGATTCATGTCCGAAGGGAACTGCAACTTGTAAAACTCTTGATTAGGCGCCGCAACGACCACCGGATGCTCCAGCTCGGGTTCGGGGGAAGCACCACCAGGCTTAATCTCACTCTCCGTTCTTGTCATACTTGTGCTTCGAGATCGTGGTCTACGCATAGGTCGTGAACAGGCATTAAAGAGGGGGCTTTGCTTGACGCTCACGGGCGGCCGCTCAAAATGCTCACTAGATTGTAATAAGTTTTCAAAAGAGGAAAACTGCATTACTGGAGCATTTTTGATCTCAGATATCTCCGGCCGATAGATATCTGCCAAAGATCTCAGCGTTGTACCGTCTGTACGCTTTTCTACAGCGATAAAATTGGTCCATTTCCCAACAATCGACCATTTTTTTCCGAGACTTATGGCAGCCTGTCTAGCCACTTTTTGACGGGAGACAGAGTTGTTTGCTCGTAGCAACTCGTAAGTAGAATTGTGAAGCCAACTGGACTCATGTTCGAGATCATACATAACGGCATGCACAGCAAGTGTGTGTACAGCTGAAATATTTTTGTCGACTGTTCCCAGTTCAACAACGAGCTTTGCAGTTTCTCCACTCGACGATGTCCCAGCTATGGTAAGCTTATTTCTGTTTGCTACGAGGACATTGTTGTTGAGCAAGAGGAAAACGGAGAACCTGGAAAATGTGTTTAGAGCCGGAATATGGAATGGAGCTTGTATGCATGCGGGAATCAGAATCTCGCGAGTCATCCCATCATTTGGCGATAGAGAGATATAGCGGTTCGGCAGATCTGGTGTCTCGGTTTGTATTGTTACGTTCCAACTGGATGGGGCTAGAGCTCCTTTGAGAAGGCGGATGACCCTGGTTTCCCATCTTCCAGACTCAGATAAGGTGACAACTTCTGCCATTCCCGAGCCCTGGTGCGCAATGCCCTCAACTAGGGCGTGTGATGTTGCATCTCCGATGCCGAGACAGAAGAATCGAACACCTTGCTCTTGGCTGGCTTTCCTGACCAACTGAAGTGTCCCCTCAAGATCCCATGTTTCCCCGTCTGTGACGACAATGACGTTGGTGTCCTTGTCTACAATACGACTTGAGGTTGCTCTTTCAAGAGCTGCCTGTATTTCGGTACCGCCCATGTTTGCTGAGAACTCGTTGATTTGTGCATATGCAGCATCAAGATTTTCTTGGGTGTTTGGCTGTGATTTGCCCCACAGTAACTGGCAGGAACTGCCAAACATACACAGATTGAATGATATTTCCTCGGGAAGACTTTTGACAGAAACCCTCAAGGCCAGCTTTAGCGCGTTGATTTTGTCTGTCATTGACACCGAGCAATCAATAACAAAGATCACTTCGCTTGTTGTGTAGTTTGACACTGGCGTCTCAACCTGTTTGGCAAGATCTTGAGGGGAAATGCTGATCATGACTGCACTGTGGTCATCGAATTCGGGGTGTGGCTCGATAAATGCCCTAGTGTTGGCGATACTTTGTGCAGGAGACACTACTAGTATAAAATCTTTCTCCAGTGCGGTAGACCGCGTTGCCAGAGTTGCAGTAGCTCTCTTAATGTCCATTTCGGTGTTCATCTCTTGGAACCCTTTAGGTGTCTTCCTCAATGTCAGATTAATTTTGTTCAGACTCTTGACAGTACTAACCGCTTTGCCCATTTTGACTGATATCGGATGAGTACGGCTTGCAATACTTTCCACCGGAACCGGTAAACAGACGTCAATATTAATTTCTAGTCCAAGTTGGTCTGTTCCAGTGTGGTTTTCGAAATCCAAAGGGTTAGATGGCGGGATTCCGTAGCGAGGGGCGATGGACGTAGGAAGGACAAAGACTACATCATTGCTGAGAAGGTCCGCCTTCAGCTCTGAGATGTACGAGATTTCGACCTTGACCGTCGTGTTTGGAGATATGCTTCCGATACTGGTTTCGAAAATTTCTGGAGTGTGCTCTTCAAGCATCGCTGCAACTTGTTGACGTTTGATGGCGCGTTTGAACAACTTTTCTGCCTCTTCTTTTGGCTCAACAACTCCCTCAAGCACCCTCTCCCGTCCCACAAAACACTTGAAGGCGTTGACTACTGAACCATCGTAAAGCGGAAACACATAACGTGCGTGCTTGATCGGATGATTCTCATGATTTTGAAAGCTCTGTGTCACCACTGTCTCCGCCACTAAGGCCTTCACATGTACATTTGCCGATATTTGTAGCGTGGGAAGGTAAATCTTTCGAGGCCTTTTTGAAGATTCCATCCTCGCCTTTGGTGTTTCGAACATTGGCTCAGTGATCGATGTAGCCGCCGTGACAGGTTGAAACGAATTCTCTTCGGGGGCCGGCGGTATCTGATGTACGCTGGCACCGTGAACATTTCGCTCTCGGGTATGACGCCTGTAAAACACCCCTGAAGGACAGTCCAGGCCGTCATACGCGAGATTCCAAGGTGATGCCATTGTGTAAATGGCGTGGAAGTGGTGATTGAATACTGAAGATGCCGAAAATGCAAGGCGATGGTATTTAAGGTTGGCCTTAAACCCTGTACTTGCTTATATCTCGTGCATCATGGAAAAAACTTGTTTTAGGATGCTGGCGTCTGGCGTATTCACATTGGTGGGATTTTGAGAGGCACCCGTTGCCTGCGCGTTTATTTTAAGGCAGCAAGTTTCTCAAGCTATTCCTATTAGATAGTCCAGCCACCATTGCTGCAAGGTCGCTTAGTATCGGCCTAGAGGTTTGTCAAACACTTTCTATTCGATGGGTTTCTCACTAGTGCCTACGTCGACATTAGCCCTGCATGCACCGCCAACACATGCGTCATTTTGCTGCCAAGAAGGTACGAGGCTGTAAGAGTCATCTTCTTTTTCTAGGCACTCTTTTCTTGACACCCACTTCCAATCGAAGAGATAACGACTTTCACGAAATGTCGCTCCCCATCTCAGTTGGAGATGCTTATCTCCTCTCGAAGCTGGCTTTCAAAATCGGGCATGCATTAAGCACAAATCGAAAGGCAGCTGCTGCGGAAATACAAGAGGTGCAGAACCAGCTTTTCGCTTTGTCAGAGGCACTCAGCTCCGCTGGAGAAGTTACGAAACAGCCATTTACGTCCCAGCAAGCCTTACAGGCGTTTGGAAAATTGCTTTCGAACTGTCAGGTGGCACTCAACCATCTCAAAAGCCTAACGGAGAAATACGATGATGCGGCATCTCCCGACGGAGCTTCATGGCGACTGAAGGAGACTGTCGTACGCAATTGGACGAAAGTTAAATGGACAACAAAAGGTGGAAACATTTCCGATCTGCGTGAGGCATTAGCGACTCACATAAGCGCAATCAATCTTACCCTTTCAGCCTTGAACACGACTCAAGCCGGACAAATTCATTGTCAAACCGAGTCGTTGCTCCACATGGTTGAGGAGATGTACAGTTCATGGAAACACGAGCAGTATCATCCCAGCTCGATACCAAAGCAGGCAGGTCCTATGCAAAGTACACTCCCAAGAGCCATGGTTCTTCTACAAAAAGAACGTCAATCAGATCCTGAGTTGATCTGCTCGAGAGCACTTATCCAGACTGGATGTACCAAGGAATCGTTCATTGACGGATACAAACTCTTCGAATGCGCATGTCAAGAAGACCAACCCCACAAGGATGAGCTCTGTCTTACTGTCCAAGATACAACACTATTCATCCGAATCCCTGCTCAAAAACCGTCATGGGAGGTTCAGATGTACTCGGAATCAATAGGAAGAGCCGTCCAGGTCTTAATTTCACATTTGTCACCTTCACAGCTCGGGCAATTTGAGCTATTTCTTTACGAGCTTGCGCTTCGACAAGGAGAGAATCTCATCAGACAAGCAAGGCACTCACACCTGGCTTTCGTTCACCAAAATGAATCTCCGGACGATGGGGGAGATCAGCTCTTTGTTATGAAGATGCAGCCTTCTTCCAGACAACTAAGCGGCCACGTCGATAAAGTTGTGTTTGAGTCTTGCACCTCTGGAACAAGGCTTCCGTTCGGGAATCTTGTATCCGCGAACCTGTTCCAGTACTTTGCATTCCCCATGGAAGGTGAAGAGGGAAGCGGCAAGGATACGCGCCATATGGACATGGTTCTCGTACCCAATATGGGCCATGGCTAAGTCTCTGCTTCACACTTCACAGTTCAGAGTAAGGAAACCTTCTAACCAGTAAAATGATGTCAAGTCCACTGACATTACTCTCGCAGTTGAGCATCTAACATCAGTTAGCCTGAATACTAACCGCGGGGTATTGTTCATTGACAATGTCGTATGTATCGAACATACTGCTTCAACCACGACACTGGAAGCCAACGTTGAAATGTCTTTTGATAAAATCGAAGGTGGGAAGCATTAACCAGAACCTGGAATCTGTTTATTAACATGCAGCCAGCTGCTCAAGAATTTGTGAACTGCATACGTCTTATGCAAGCAGAGCTCTTTGTCTCTTATCTACGAACCCCTCGCATTGGCGAGAGGATTCTGTTCGAACAGTGAGTTGTATCCAAAGCAAACGTTTAACCAAGAAATTAAGCATGCGAGAAACAGGTCGCTTGGCGACTGCAAAATCAACGACTTCTTCCTTCTCGGAGCAACTGCAAAGGGCGTTCGTGATGATGTCACCGGTGAGGAACGAGTTATCGTGGAGAATGACTCGAAGGCACTCTCCGTTTGCATTCGCTGTAAGTGACGAGAAGCACTTGCTGAAGTTGAATGAACTAATCACCGCATAGCACCTCAAATACTTAGCCAGGAGGGCTTGAATGTTTCTTCGGACAGTCAGTTGATTGTGGTCCAAATCAGCGCAGATCGGACCTCCATCATACCACTTTGCGGAGATGCGAACTTCGTTCAGGCGAGACGTCCGTAGCAACATTGCACAAGGGGACGCACAACATCTCACTTGTTATCTTGAGTCACTCCGCTACGCCATAAATCGCGGAGCGCTGGTACGAGATTATAATCTGTTGTTGGAGTCAATACAGAGCAGGCAGACCTTAACATAAACGGGGAACATAAATCGGTACGCTTTGCCAATAGCAACGTAGATACATTTAATGGTGGATTTCTTGTGAAACTGGGAAGTCTCCAGCATGTATGGACACTGCTCGCTACGCTTAAACTGGTACTTTTCTAAGGTGCCTTGATCATACATGGAACTCCTCTCGGGGCGTTTTTCTGCATCCCAAACAAACTATTTTGAAGAGGGTTGTTCCGGGTCGCATTTCTGCACCACAGCAGCGAACGCAGCGGAGCGGAGTCGCTTAACTAACTCGGAATGTCTTGGCGTCCGACACCGCTGAGCGGAACGGAAATGGAACGCACGTGAGCTCCGCTTGAATTCCCCGCGAGGCCCGACCTCTTCCTTTTCAACCCACAACCGCCCCACACTTGACGATGTCAAATCGCCATCTTGAACTTGGCGCCGTCAAACTTCACGAGCAGTCCTGTTTCTTAACTGAATCTCTCACCTAAGCGAGCTTCTTAGAACGAACTGTCAGCCCAACGCTTCCTTTGGCCGTGTCGCATCTGCTTCATCAGCACGAAACACTCGCAAGGACGCCTGTTATTGCTTTTTTGCGTCTTAGTGCTTTACTGGCCCGAGTTACTCGGCTCAGCGACAATTGACTTTAATTGTTAGCGATTCGCGTCGGTGGGGAAAATCTCCATGCTAAGAGGTGCTTCCCGACAAACTATCTCAATAAAAATTATCTGATCGTAAGCGAAGATAGAAACGGCAGTGTAAGTACATTCAGAGCTCTAATCTGGTTTTCTTTTTGCTTTTAATTGTGTTAACGGCATGACTGTCCCTTTGCGAAATCTCCCAGCGATCACCTGACTGCGCAGCTTGCTTGTACAAAGGAGCTCGCTGGAGGTCTCCAGTTGATATCCGCAATTCAATTATGCTTACGTCTTCATCAGCCGATCGATGCGGTTCACAAAAGTGCAATTGGTTAACACAGAAACACTGCTTAGGCCACTGGAATTCTGGAAAAGCCATGGACCAGAGGAGACGACAACCTCCGCGGAGCGCTAAACAGCAAAGCTTCTTCGAGTCTAAAGCTTATTCGCTACTCCACATGTATCCTCAGCGGCGGTTTCATGTCGACAGTACCATTCTCCCACAGGTGTCGTTTAATCTTCATCCGGACGATGTTGAAACGATGCGCACGCTCTTGCGTTATCTTCACACCCTTATGCAAGGATCAGAAATGGCCGCACTCCTACTCAACGAACCTCCGGAGCTAGCGGAGAGGAAGGACCCGGTGCTGGTTGCTCAGTCACCGCAAGCTGCCATTAGCTTGCTTCGGCAGCTGGCGCCCAAAAATACGCTACCTATGGAGATGTGGCAGAGACTCATAGATGTGTTTGGGCAGAACGAGGGTGTGAACGGCTGCGGCTTGGAAAAACCAGAGGAAGAAGGTGTTTCTGCTGAAGCTGACCTGGGACATGGCACCGGTGTCGCGATGGACGACTCTTATCAGACCTTGAACGATGGCGACGATTGTCGAAGACAACTCAACAACTATCATCCGTTTGAACCGTGCTTGGGACCTAGGTTCACTGATGCGCAGAACACCGATCATATTGAAAGCACGAGTAAGCGCAGGGCCGGTACCGAAAAATCAATTGCACCGAAACGAAAGTCTCGGTCGACTAAGAAGGAGCTGCAAATGATCAGGCTGTTAAAAGCAAGGTGTCAGGCGCAAGGAGAACAGCTGGCCAGAACTTTCAAAAGAAAAGAGCACCCCAGTGGGCCGAGCGGAGTAGGGCGTAAGGCGAAAAGAACAAAGCCAAGTCCTTGCGTTCCGGCATGCGACAAAAGCTTTGATACCGAATTTGACGATGCAGAGCGGCCGTTCGCGAAGGCTATCATGCAAACGGAAGGATCCCGGCGCAAGCAGCGTAAGCTCAATACTGCCAAAGTCAAGGACATTATCGTCAAGGTTCAGGCATTGGCCAACGATGACGTTTTGAGACAGTGCCGCGATATTGTCTCGTATTGGCGACGTTCTGGATCACTCGTGAGCGCGCCCGCCTTGCCCGCAAATGAAAACGGGGAGAGGAGAAAAAGATCTGAAGCCGTAACAGCCATAAAAGAGTTGAGACAATGGTATCACGTCGTTTACGATATGAGCGAGAACAGCACTGTTGCCGATCTGACGTACCGTATCTGGCATGCGGAGCTGGGTCGGGAGTATGAGAAACTCCGCGTGCGCTACTCCTCTACCCATGCCAGCAAACGGTTGTTTTGGCAACTACACCCCGAGCTTATCGCCGGCCATGACATGTCGCACGTGGCTCCTTCTATTCGTTATCCCGATCCATGGAAGAGCTTCGAAAAACGCCTGAGAAAGTCACGACGTTGGTACCAGATTGCCTGCAAACTAGGATGGAGCATCTTCTTTCTCTTTGCCCGAAATGCTATCCCACACTCCTGGGTCGAAGAATGCGCCAAAGACGAGCTGGATGCGTGGACAGTGGCGATACAAACTTGCAGACCTGAAATCTGGCTCGGTAGCTATCACCTACTGGACTATTGGGGCGTGTGCTCCGCCATACAGATTCTACGAGGCGCGAGTCCGCCCAGAACGTTATCCATTGAACGAATATTACTGCCAATGGGTGATATTTCAGATAAAGAGAGGCTTAGGGTGTTATTCCCTATTGGCGTTAAACTTAAGTCGTTTAAGTCCGTTCGAAGAATTTCGGCGATGGTGCGCTTGCCAGATGCTATAATCCCCAGGGTCGAGAAAAAAGGGTGTATGTCTGCTATCACCGCTAACATGCAGCATTCTTATGGAGTTGGTAAGGCTGTATAAAAAGCACCATCTGATTCTTGGACGAGCGGCTATCCAGGTAAACAGTTTAGATTTTAATACCTTTATCAGTATCTTTGAACCCTTCGAATATTTTATTTCTATACCCTTATATATTACTCTAAACCATTTATATATTTTAACTTATATATCTCTTAAAATATCTTTATACATTCTTTTATGTGAAGCTGGGCGCGAGGAATTGGACGCCGCTTATCCTCCTAGATTACTGCTACCTATAGAGGTATATATGCTGCTATCTAAAAGAACACGTTTCTT